AATTGAATCAAGATTTTGCGGAATTTAATCAAGACCCCCGCTCCCGCCAGAGAACCCTTCACATTTGATTCAGGAATTGCGCTCTCGCCTATGATTTCCGTACAATTTATGTAGAAATCGCGCTTTCGACAATCAGGAAACACGGTGCGCCAAGGACGCCGTTACAATGTACTTAGTAATCGCGCTCTCGCCATACTCAGGCATCCCGCTTGACTGTCCCACACGCCCGACCCGCCCGTCAGGGGATCGCCCGCCCGTCGTGGGCTCCCGCCCGAGACTTCCTTCAGGAACAGCGCTTTCGCCTAGGACTTCCTCGAACGTTCACGCTCTGACCTTCTTCCTCCTCCTCCCTCTCCCTCCTCCCTTCTCTCCTCCCTTCTCTCTGCCTCCTCTCTCCCTCCTCTCTTCCCTCATCCTTATGCTTCTCTGCCCTATCCCCTCTCCATCCTCTTCCTTCTCCCTTCTCCCTCCCCTCTCCTGCCTCCTCCCTCCCTCTTTCTTTCTCTCTCCCTCCTTTTTTTTTTTCTCTCTCTCTCTCTCTCTTTCTCTACCCCTCTTATGTTTGTTCCGACCTTTTTTCCCTCTCTCGTTTTTTGTCTCTCTCTCTCTCTCTCTCTCTCTCTCGCTCTTTGCCTCTAATCAACCGCCCCCCTTTCGCTCCTTCTCTCCTGGCGTTTTCCCTTTTCCTTCGTCCCTCCCCCTCCCTTCCTCCCACTCTCTCTCGTTCTCCCCTCCTCTTCTTGCAGGGCCCACACCAATTCCAATGGCGGGCACATGTACTCCCAGTATTTTCTTACAATTTACCCCGAGACACCCTGGCCAGAGAGGCCCCCGAAGTAAGGAACGGTGCTCTCGCTGGAGACTTCCTTGCAATTCTTCCAAGGTGGCGGAGGCCCAGCACCGACGACAAGGGCTCCTGTTCGATACTTCCTCACGGCTTACTCCGGAGCGGAACGGCGCTTTCGCTCGAGACTTTCTCGTACTTCAGACATGGAGGCCCGGACACGGCGACAAGGGCTCCCGTTGGATATTTCTCCATTGGTATTCCGAGAGCCCCTGGCCAGAGAGGCGTCCGAACTCAGGAACGGCGCTTTCTCTCGAGACTTCCTCGCGCTTAAGTCAGTGGCCGACAAGGAAGAAATCCCACCCGGAAGGGGGTGCAATCGAAGACGAAGTGGGCGGGAATCGAGGGTTGGCTTATAGGGAATGCAAGACACGGTGACAGGAAGAGCGAACAGTATTAAAATTGTTTTTGAATGTTAGTTTTTTATTAACAATTACTATACTTGGGCCCCCCCCTAGGCGCTGTGGCGCTCTCGCCTCCGCGCCGGCTACATTTTCATTGAAAATGAGGCTCACGCTCGAGCGGTTTGTAGGGGCGCCGAAACGGGAACCCCAACAACAACAACGCTCCTGCTCAAGACTTCCTCCTTTTTCATTCAGGGCCGGTGCTTTTGCTCGCCGCCGAAAGCCGCCGTCCCAACAAAACCAGCGATACCGCTCGAGACTTCCTCCCGCTTCACCTTGGACTGGCGCGCTACTCTTTCTCTCATCGGCGCCGCCCCCAGCAACAACAACGCTCCCGCTCGAGACTTCCTCCCTTTTATAATCAAGGTGGTACTCGTTTTCGCCGCCGAAAACCGCCTTCCCGACAAAACCAGCGCTCCCGCCCAAGACTTCCTCCCGTTTTACGCAGGACTGGCGCCCTAGTCTCTTTTGTATTGGCGCCGCTCCCAGCAAGATCAACGCTCCCGCTCGGGGCTCCCTCTCTTTTTCCTCAGGACGGTGCTCTTCCTTGCCGCCGACGGCCCCCGTCCCAACAAAACCACGGCTCCCGCTCGAGACGTCCTCCCTTTTTTACTCAAGGCGGTGTTCCTCCTCGCCGCCGACAACCGCCGCCCCAACAAAACCAGCGTTTCCGCATGAGATTTCGTTTAGTTTTACGCTGGGCTACCGCCCTACTCTCTTCTGCAGTTGCGCCGCTCCCAGCAACAACAGCGGCCCTGCTCGAGACTTCCTCCCTTTCTACTCAGGGCCAGGTCCTTGCCTCGCCGCCGACAGCCCCCCATCTTTACCAAGGCAATCCTGTCGGTCGATACTTCCTTGTGATTTACTCTTGGCTGTGGCTCCACTGGCAGTCTCGCATCGGCGCAGCAAGGTGCGGGCATTCGTTTTCGAGGCGGGATATGTTAAAATTCCTCGGAGTTGTTTGTAAGACCTCATTGGGCGGGAGATCTGGGAATGGGAATAACGGACCTCGCTATAGAACGAAAGTCCCTTATGATGGGGATGGTTATCACGATGGTCGCATACTTTGTGTGGAATCATCGCGCATGAGGGTAAACTGATTTTTGTTGTTGTTGCTGCTACTGCTGCTGATGTTACTGCTGCTCCAGCTGCTGCTGATGTTGTAATTGTCGTCGTCGTCGTCGTTGTTGTTGTTGCTGTGAGGGGGGGGGCGCGGGCCCCGCTCGTCTCCTCAGGCGGGTGCACCGCGGGCTCCGGCCGCGCGCGTCGTCCAGCCCACGTAGGTCCTCCTAGGGCCTTCTGAGGGATTCCTATGTGTAGATTTTGATTATGTTGTGGGGGGGGACGTCTCCAAAGCTGGCTGGGTGGGGGGACCAAATGATCTTGGCCTTCGGATTGGGGGCTGCGTTTCCGTTCCTTGCCCCCCCGCCCACTTCGCGTTTCCTCGCGATCGTTCCCTGGTTCGTTTTTGCCGCGCTGACATCGTAATCACCGAAGCCCCTGACAGGGGGGGGGGTCCTTTGAACTTGTCCCCGACTCCTGTCCGCCCCCTCCTGTACGGAACTGTCGGCCACGTGTCGGGGCAGTCTTTTTGGTCGAACGCCATTGCTGATCGTCAATGCCGAAGTTGCTTTTGAGCTTACCCTGGCCACTATTTTTTTTTTTCCTTTTCATGATTTGCCGATTTGTGTCGCGTCCAGGAAACAGCTGATTCCTGGGACGCAGAACCATTGCCGGTTCCGAGGTGTTCCACTGTGCCCTCCAGCCTGCATCAGGGATTAGGGCACGGAAGCGCGCGGGCAGCGTAGCCAGGGCCGAAGCCAATGCCAGATTCACGGTCAGTGCCATTGCCCTGTGCCTCGTGGTGAATATTTCGCCGCGTGCCCAGCTCAGACCTTGTGGCCACCTCTCGTTGCCCTAGCTATTGATATCCCGTTGACCATTTAAGGCGGTAGGGGTGAGTCTCGCCCAGCAGCGCGGTAACAACTCAGGGCCAGTAGCTCTGCCTGGCCCGGACCGAGCGGGGAACTGCTTTCTTGCATCTTTTCTCGACTCGAAGTGCGCGTGCACATCGCGCTGGCGCGTGCGTGTCTGGCTGCTGTACGCAGCAACATCAGTACAGTGCACATATTGGATAAACACTTCGTTTCTTGTGGATCTTCCCCTTCGTTCTAATCTTCTCTTCCGTGCCTCTGTCTCTTCTGCCTCCTATCCCTCAGCCCTTTCCTGCCCTACCTCTGGCTCCTCACCTCCTCCACCTCCGCGTCCTGCCCTCACCTTCCTAGCGGCGTGGTGCCAGCACCCTCGGACGACCTCATCCTGTGGCGATCCTCCAAGATCGCCTGTCTGAGGGCAACGGCCCGCCAAAGACGGCCGCCGGCATCCACTTCCGTCCTGCGTGTCAGGCCGGTCGGCCAAGAGGAGGCGCCGCTGCCCCGTGTCCTGCGATCGGCCCAAGGGCCGGGTCTCCGTTGCGGAGCGCCAGACCACGTGCTCGAAGTCTTGCGCCTCGTTCGCCCCACGGGGGGCAATGCTCTTCCATTGCTGCGCGCCCATGCCGTCGTCCTCCTCCGCCTCCTCCCTCCCCTCTTTGCCCTTCGCCGCCTGCAGGAGCGCTGGCGAGGCGACTGCCCCGGACATCACGCTGGCCACGTGCGTGCTGCCCTCTGCGAGAAGCTTCGCGGCCTTGCCACGCCGCTTGTCGTACTGCTCGAACCCGTTCAGGTGCGTATAGATGCGGTTCTGCCCCCGCCCCCTCCCAGAAAGGTTTGCGCGCCAGCCCTCCCGGAGCACGGGTTCGAGGCATCCTTTGCGTTCCGACCCGTGCTCGGTGCCTTTTTGCGCAAGCTGAGAATTACGCTCGTGACCAGGCGCCTCCTCTCCCACCTGGCACGTTGCCGCCAGCCGCAGCCCTGTAGGAGGGCATGGGTGAGGCCTGAGCTCGCCTCCGTTCTCCTCCTCGTTCGCAGCGTGGCCAGTCGGTGGTCCTTCTGGAGGGGGCGCCGCGCGGCCACGAAGGCGGCGGCCCGCAGGCAGCACCTGGCGCTGAGCCGGTGGCAACGAAAGAAAGCCCAGAGGTGGGGGCTCCCTGCGCTGTGTTTTTTCCCTTCGCCCGCACGATCGCCGCATGTAGCTGCGTCTCGTCCTTCTTGTTCTGATGCCAGTCGATCCAGTCCTAATTACTTGGCGACTGCCAGCGCCTTGCTTGCCAGCGTCGCTTGATACATCCTCCTGCAGACGGGCAGGTGAGCACTCCTCTCGAGCAGCACCTAGGCCCTCCTCAGCCTCATCTTCTCCTTCCTGGTGTTCCTCCTTCCCCTACCTCCTTTGCGCCCTGTGACTTCTTGCAGAAACCCGCCCCAAGGATCTCTGGAGTGTCCGTCACAATGGTGCGCAGCGCGCCTGCGCGGAGCAGCTGTTTCCTGCTCGCGGCCGCCCAGTGGGCGTGCTTCACTTCGCCTCGTTCTCCGGGAGGCCCAAGACGAGCGACCATCTTCTCCACTCGCGCACTGCCGTCAAGTCCTGCGCTGTGCTGGGCGACCACGACCTGTCGCCCACGAAGCAGGGCGCCGTAATGGCGATGATCGGCAGGTGTAGGACCGCCGCCACCGTTATCGTGGACCACCGGTCGCCCAGGAGCAATGGCGTGGCCACTTCCTCCGGCCGCCGCAGCGTGGCGCCTTGGTGTTGCCAGTGCCGAAGATGTCCGGTCCACACCTACCCCGGGACAGCAGCAACCCCGCGCGGGCATCCGAGCTCCCCTAGCCTTGCAATTGCCAGCCTGGAGTCTGTTTTATCGAAAGCCAAAGTGTAGTCGTAGGACGCAATGAAGACCTCCTCGTGGTACGAGTCGAGGAGGCTCAGGAGCGGCGTGTACACCTCACCAGCCTTGCGCGCACCCACGGCCTCCTTACCATTTCTTCTGCCACGCCTGGACGTCGGGTAACTGCAGCACGCTGCTGAGCAGGCTCCGCCAGCAGCTCAAGATGGTGATGGGCCGCAGCGCCTGCACGGCGTTGCTTCCGTCCCTCTTTCTTGTTCCTGTCTGCAGCATTACTTGCCGTGCTTTTCGCCACTCCGTGGGTACGCAGCGCTGGTCCAGCATGAAATTGGAGACGTCAGCCAGGTGTGAGACCACCGCAGGGCTGTAGAGCGAAGCGGGCTCATCTTCATGCCAGCCATTCGCTCCCGGAGCGGATCCCCGTAGCTTCCCCAGGGCGCACCGCAGATCCATGCACACAGGTCGCCGGGACTGCGCCGACGCAGGCGGCGACGTGTCCTCGACCAGTCGCTGCCGCCCCTCCTGTGGCGCGAGCTGGCGCACCCACACTTTCCTCCAGTGCCTCGCCAGCAGTGCGAGCGCTTTCTTCTCCGTGGCGCTTTCCTCCTAAGCCTCGTTCTCCTCGCTCCTCGTCTTCCGTTCCTGCCCCTCGCCCTCGAGTTCCTCGTTCTCCTTCGCGCGCGCGCGCCCGTCGGTGGAATCGTGCGGCCGCCTTTTCGCCCAGGCGCAGCCTGTCCTGAGCGATCCTCGCAAACGGATGCGCCAACTGCGGATGCGGCCCTGCCTCCGCTGCTTTTGGAGCTCTCCAGGGCCGTCTCGACCTTCTTCAACGTCACCAGCTCGTGCTTCTTCAGCCCTTCGCGGGTATTCTCCTCGAGCTTTCGTCCTTCTGCGCCGTCCTCGCGGCCATTCCTCCGCAGCCACTGCCTGTGCCTCATCTGCCCTCGCAGGTCGTCCAGCTGGTGGATCTGCGCGTGCGTGGGTCGTCACAGTCGCCGGACCGGTGCTCCTGGTACCGAAAGGTCTGCTTGTTCTTCCTGATGCTCCAACCTCGACTGCCCTCCGCCTCTCCTGCTTCGTCCACTGCTTTCCTCAGTGTGCTCCTGAAGAAGTGCCCGAGGTGCAGATACGTCTGCCTAAACGCGTCGCCCACCTGCTCCTGCACCGCGTCCATGTCCCCGGGCCCTTCCATAGCTGCGAGGCTCGGCGGATCCATCGTCGCATAGCTGCAGCTGACCCCGTCGCTCCGGTTCCACATGTCCTGGGCAGCCCAAGTTGGCCGACCTGCCAAGAATGTAATCCGGCTCCCGATCGCCCTTGGCGTCGTTGTGGCAAAAACGGGGGGCGGACGTTGTGCCAAAAACATGACGTCGGGGGTCTGGGGTAGGAGCTACTAAAGTCGAGGCTGATTCGTATGGGGACCCTGCCAAATCAAGAGTACCCTCGCGACCCATGCCTTCTGCATTCCTGTGGCAACGTGGCCCTCAGAAGGGTCTTGTGTCCTCTCGCGCGTCCTCTCCAATCATCCCTGACTGCAATGGATCCGTCGGAAGTCTGGGCTCTGCGTTTTGCATGTCGATCTGGGGCGCTTCGGAGAGGGCTGAGTTCGAGGACCGAAGGAAGTGCCATCTCTTTCCTGGCGGAAGGCGGCGGGCGTGAGATGGCGGCGGCTCCGCTGGCGGAAGCCGACGGGAAGCCGGCGGAAGCCAGCGGAACTAACAGTCTACCGTCCACGAGACGACATTGTCTTGGCATCGCTCGGACGTGTGCATTTTTCCTTCGGCGAGGACCATCGAGGAGCATCCTTGATCATTTGGCGAAAAAACCACGCAGGAAGCCGAACAAAAAACACAGGGAATGGACGTCCGAGCGATGGCCAGCTGTTGGGGGGGTCAGGGTTTCTGGAACCGCCCATATAGGCCCGTTGGCCCTTCTGGACCCGCGGAGATCGCAAGAGTACTGTCATCGTCTCACCTTTCTGGACTTGCGGAGACCTCCCTGGACACCCTGGGAGCTCCAGAGAGGTGGAGAAGGAAGGGAGGTTTTGACGCTTTTCGCTCTTTCGGGGGCCTCCGTGGGCTCGTCTCCTCTCTTCTCACCCTTTGTCTTTTCCCTCTGCCCCTCCACATCCCTTTCCTCCTTTTCCCTCCCTTCCAGTTCTCCGCTTCTTGTCGTTCTCTCTTATATCCTCTCCCCGTCCTCCTGCTCTGGGGCCCTCGGGTCCGAGGAGGGCCCTGGAGCGAGCGCACCACGGGAGCGCCCGCCGCGGCCGACGCGGGCTCGGCCCCGCACGCCTCTCAGCGTCCTCCGTTTCCACCTCCTCCTCCTCCTCCTCCTCCTCCTCCTCCTCCTCCTCCTCCTCCTCCTCCTCCTCTCCTCTGCTGAAGCAGGTCTCCGCCTCCGCCTCCGCGGCCTCCCTGGCCGCCTCTGTCTCCTCCCTCTGCGCCGCGCTCGCCCTCAGGCCGGCCGCCAGCGCCGCGAGACCTCGTTCGTTTTCCTGGTTTCTCCTCCTCGGCGCTTCTTCCCCTCGTCCTCCAGCAGCGGTTGTGTTGTAGCGTAGTGTTGTCGTCGTGCTAGTGCATGCAGGCTTCGAGAGGCCGCCAGTTCCAGGCCCAGGGGTGTGAGCCACCAGACCCCTGCGTTAGGCGCGCTGGCTGGCCCGGCGACCACCTCAGGCAGCGCTGATGAGCGTGCGCGCCACCTCCCTGACCACGCAGGTGGCGATGGACCGGTGGAGAGGTCTAAGGGTCTCCGGACGCCCAGGGCCCTCCGGCACTTGCTGCGCGAGCCACTTCGGGTGGACTCGCCCATGCTTCCCGAGACTTCAAAGCCGAGGGGTTGGAAACCAGCGGCTCCGTTGTGTTTGCGGCGCTTGGCCTGTTCGGCCAGTCTGGCAGCGGTGCCTTGGGCGTGGGCCCCTCTGGCCTGCAGGCTCTGCTGCGAGGCGGGATGCACGATCGCTAGGTCAAGATAAGCTCACTGGCCGTCACTGTCGGTCCTCCTGGGGTCCGCGCGGAGACCCGGATTGCCCGGCCTGGTGGGTGGGCGAATCCAAGGCTCGACTGCGATGGCGAACGTGCCGGCTTCACGTAGGGCTCGCGCTATGGTGTCGCGCAGATTGTTGTGCCTCTTGATTGTGCAGCCGCCACAGGAGCAGCAGAGCGCGTGGCGTCCGTAAATGTCGACGGTGCCGGTGCAGTGGGTTCCGTCCTCCTTTTTGAAGGGACAGGGTCCGTCAGCTGCGCGTACAAGACCTCCGAGTCTGTGTCTCGCGGCCATCCTGAAGTGGGCGTCAGCGAGGTGGTGGTCGGGCCGCGTGGGCGGCCCGAGCCACGCGCCTGCTCCCTTGCCTGTCGCGCTAAGAGCCCAGGCCCGTTGGTGCGGCTCCGTCTTGGTGCGTCGTAGCCACTGCGTCCACTCTGCGTGCCGCCTGTGCCTGGTAAAGCGCCGCCGGGTGGTGTCGGGCGGTTCCGTGTCAGGCGCCTGCTGCGCTGCCTCTTTCTGCGTCAGCGCATTGACAGTGCTCTGGAGGTGGTGGAGCGCTGGTCTCAAACCCGGGCAATAGTGCAGCCGCACTGCGCTCACACTTTGGAATCCCAAACCGCTCAAAGCGACAGGGTGCCAGTATTTCTCTCCTCGCTTCGCCTCTTTTGTCGTCTCTTCGCCTCTTTTGTCCTCTCCCTTCCTCTTTCCATCTCGTCCTCTAACCCTCTTCTCTCACCTCCTCGTCGCCCGCTCATCTCTTGTGTCGATGTGTCTCCATGAGGGCCAGTCTTACATGAGCGGTGGTCTACTCTATATTGTTTTCTCGTCGGGCCCTAAAATTGGCGAGCGGGGGGGGGGGTTCTAGAGAGCGGCTTCGTTAGACTTGCGCCTCCAGGCTCGGACACCTCGGACATGCGCCTCGTCGTGTCAGACGACGAGATGGAAGAGAACGACGACGACGACAACGACAACGATGCTGGTGCTGCTGCTGCTGATGATACTGCTGGTGTTGAGTATGGTGGTGATGATGAAGATGATGCTGATGACGAGAAGAAGGATGATGATGCTGATGCTGTGCTGATGATGATGCAGGTGATAATGCTGATTTATGGTGATGGTTATGCTGATGATGATGCGGATGACGATGAAGAGGAAAAGGACCCGGAGGAATACACGAGGATGAAGAGGCTCATGAAAACAAAGGAGGAGACGGGACAGGAGAAGGCATCATGCGGTTCTTGTTTCACTTGTCAACCTCTGCGTCAAGTGAATCAAGTCTTCTTTTTTGTAACCTGAGTTCGGAAGTCCAACATTCTCAAGCCGCCCACCACACTTATCCATCTCACAAATTCTAATTCTGCGCAGTGCTACTCGCAGCGTCGTGTGATACGTCGTGCGCGCATTAGATCATAGCGTGTTGCCAGGAATGCGTTACAAGGTCTCGTCAGCCGACAAAGTGTGCCTATTGTAGAGCAGCCGTACGCTGGCTACCAAGCTCTGGTGTAGAGCATAATCGCTCGAATTGTGCATAGACGTTCGACAGACCAGCGCTGGATGAGCAGACGTGATCAGGCAACCAGCAGCGCAGCGTGAATCGCGATTAGGATGGGCACGTAGCCTTGGATGGAGATGTTCAGGGCAAGAAGGAAAGGGGTGGAAAGGGACCAGTCGACGGAGAAACTCAGGATTGGATGTCTGAGCGTGAGGCCCAATCGCCAGTCGGCTGGCCCCTGGGCCCCCCTCTGGCACCTTCCCAGACATCTGACGCCGTTTTTTATTCTTTTCAACGTGCTCCCTCAGAGGCCAGGACAACTTTTCCCGGGACTGGCTTTTCATCCCGAGTCGTTTTTTGACGGTCCCAGGGCCCAGCGAGGGCCCCCACAGGCCGAGTTTTGTCCAGAACCGTCCGTCGTGATTTTTGTCACGACGCGAGAATGTCACGGTTCCGCTTCTCAGCGAAGGGCAACCCAAATCCCATGTCAGGTGCCACGTGGGGTGGGGGGAGTCCACGGGTGGCGGCCCTAGGGTGCGTGGGCAGTCTTGTCGGTGCTGGCAAGAAGGTGCGCCCCATGTAGGCGTTATTGGGATCTGTGGTTGTTGCTCGTCCTGGCTTCTGTTCCTGGTGCCCTGCCAGGCAGTCTCGCCATGCGCTGAATGCCCGTCCCCCCGCCTCTCGTTGTGAAACACTCACGACGGGAGGTTTTTGGTCATCTTCTGCCCCTTGGGGGTCCTCACCGGGCCCTGATGGGGCCCTCACAGGGTCCCCCCTCTGGGGGGCCACGCCCATCGCAGATGGCCAGCTAGAGAAGGGAATAGGGTGGGGAGCGGGGAGAAATCGGAAGTTGGAAGGGAAGGGCAATGAGCTCCCCGAGAGCAAACCTTTCCTCCGTCACCGAAGCGTGTGCTTCCTACAGTCAGCCAACACACTGGAGTGGATGGACTTGGCATCGCTCGGACATGTGCAGATTTTCTCGGCGAGGACCATCGAGGAACATCCTGGACCATCGAGCACAAAGCGCGCACGAGACCGAAACATGCACGGGGAATGGTCGTCCGAGCGACGGCAAGAGGAGGTGTGAAGTTAGTCAGGCCGAGCGAGTCAACGAGGCCCGCCCGGTCGCACCCTCCTTCCCAGCACTCTGGTGCACCGGAAGGGTGAGGGAAAGGCTCAGGAGGGGACGGATCGACCCCGAATCGCCCATTCATCGCCCTCCTCCTCGTCCTCATCCTCCTCCGTCCTCTCCCGACCCCAGCCTCAGCGCGTTTCCTCCGAGGCCCCGTGTTTTTGTTGTGGGCTTCGGCCGCTCGTCGGCGCCTCCGCCTCTACTCTGCGAGGCAGCGGGGAGGTGACCATTTTTCGTGGAGGAAGAGCCCCTGATGGGGATCCTGTAGCTGGAGAGGGTACAGTCAACCTCGCGTAGTAGGGATGCGCGACTTTCCAAGCTTACCCTTGCGTCCTTCCCCTTCGGCCAACCTACGGCCGCTTTCGCTGGCCGTACCCCTCTCGCAGAGTGTCGGCATGACCTCCCGAGGCCCTTGCATCCTTATCGTGCGTCCTTAGTACACGGGTTGACTGTAAACAGACCCTCTCCCGCACCCGCCCCAGTCCTCGTCCTCCATCCACATCGAGGGGGGGGCAGGAAAGCGGCAGGAGGAGCGCCCGCGGGCGAGCCTCGAGGCTGCGGGGGGAGGAGAAGGAGGCAGGGAGCGGAGAGAGCAGCGGCATGCCGGCGGGGAGGGGAACGGAACTGGCGGGTGTCATGGGCAGCGGAGGGGGGGGATAGGCTCATAGGCAACACCCCGCCCTGGACCGTGCGGAATCGCTATCGGGTGCCTGTCGCCGATCTGTCGGCGATGTGTCGCCGGTCCAAGATCGATGCTTCCCTCCCTGAGCTGCCCCCCCCTGACGTTGCCCCTCATCTCGTGGCGGATGCTTGCTTCCGTCGCCCGTCTTTTGGCTCGGATTTGGAAGACTGCCCGTCCAAATTCGCATCGCCGCGGCCCGCCCACTTCGTCAGGATTACCACTCTGCAGCGTCGCATCGCGATTCTGGCGTCGCTCCTGTTGCGCGGGATTCGTGTTCTCTCCTTGCAATTGCAGTCCCAGTCTCGTCTTCGCATGAGAATTCGTCGTGTCGTGTGCCTGCTGGTGCCTCTGTGCACCTTTGCTTTCTGTATGACTCTCTGTGCGCATTCATGGTGGCCGTGACCGTCAGCATGCTAGCGCCTGCGCGTGCGAGTGAGAGCATGACAAGCCCAGCATTCGCATCACCCTGTTCTCCGCCTCCTCATCAGCTTCATGCTTTTTCCTCAGATTCAGGAGTGTGTGTGTGTGTGTGTGTGTGCGTCGATCGTCCTGCCTGTACGCTCGCCTCGCGATCTGTTCTCATCGGCCGCGGCCCCGCGAATGCAGGGCGCCTTCTGCTCAGATTCCCCCCCGCGCGGAACGTCTTCATGGGATTGCGCATCCGTGTGATCGCGCCACCCTGCGTCCGGACCGCGTTGCCGTTGTGGCCAGGACTTCGAGCGTCATCCAGGGCATCTCGAGAGGCCTCCCGGGAGGCCCTGAATGAAGGGGGCGGAACACCTGGATCTCTCCGATTCCCTGCGGCAGGTTCGTGTCGTTCCCCACGCGACAGCGACCCCGCCGCTTGCGTTCAAGGTCGAGCGCCGCCGTCGGCCCAGAATCGACAACCATCGAACAATCTGGCGATCGGAACGACCGCCGATCGTTCCAGGTTCAGCGATCCACGCGGTGTCAGAAACCAGTGACGCAGTTTCAGACCTCCTAGGCGGGGTCCGAGGAGATGGGATCGGAGGATCGCGCCGCATCGCCGACGCGTCGACGGTGCGACTCGATGTGAGGCCCGATTTTCTCCACGCCAAGTCGCCGATGCATCACCGACGTCGCCGCCGCATCGCCGCTGCATCGCCGCTGCATCGGCGATGCGGCACGATCCTGCGACCTCACCTGCTCGGACCGCAAGTGGGAGGCCTCCAGATGCCGTCACGGCACGAACCTGCCGCGCCTCGACCCTCGCTCCTCGATTCTTGAGCCTCGGTGCTCCAGGTCTCCCCTCGCCCGTGGCAGAAGGCCAGGCGGAGCGGGAGCAAGATCCGGGCCGCCGCTCCGTCGGCGGAAGGACCGCGCAGGCCGGCGGAGGGGCAGGATGGAGAGGCTCAGGATGAGGATGCAGACGAGGAGGAGGAGGAGGGGGAGGAGGAGGAGGAGGAGGAGGAGGAGGAGTAGCATTACATGGCATAGCATGGTGTTGAAGATTAACGCGTAGCATGACATAGCATGGCGTGGCGACGCCCCAAAGTGCGGTGGGGCTTCTGCGGCCCCAGAAATCAACGAATTGCCACCGAAGGTGTAGTCACTTCCGATGGCTTCCTCGGGAGGCCATTTTTTGATTTGGGGGCTTACTTGGAAGGACCGAAAACCATGCCGTGGCATGGCACTGGAAATAATGACGCCAGCGCTGCAGCAGGAGCACGATTCGGAACGAACGGAAGTGCGGAAATGAGGCCAACGCTGCAGCGGGAGCATGATTCGGAATAAGCGGTAGCCCGAAAATGAGGCCAGCGGTTCAGCGAGAGCAGCATTTTTATCAAAAGTCCAAGCGCGGAAACGCGGACACGAGGACGCGTAGCCTACCATAGCATGGCGTGGCGACGCCCCACAGTGGGGGGGCTTCTGCGGCCTCACAAATCAACGAATCGGCACCGAATGTGTAATCACTTCCTATGGTTTTTTCGGGAACCATTTTTTAATTTTTGGGGCCATTTGGAAGGACTGAAGACAATGCCGTGGCATGGCGCTGGAAATGATGACGCCAGCGCTGCAGCAGAGGAGGAGGAGGAGGAGGAGGAGGAGGAGGAGGAGGAGGAGGAGGAGGAGGAGGAGGAGGAGGAGGAGAGGCGATCTGGGCTCTCCCAGGGGGGGGGGTCTTGTGCGTACATACTTCAGAGCGCTGTGTGCGCACGAGCTTTGGCAACGAACACATGTTTGCACCATCCCTCTCTTTCCGCAACCTTCTCGGCTCACGCAATGGGCACCAGGCCGCGCGGCAAAGCCGTGGCGGCGGCGCAGGGCGGCGGCACGGTGCTCTCAGGGCCCAAGGCCCCCGCCTGGGGCTGCAGCTGCGACGAGGCGGCCAACTGGGCATCGAGGCTCCGCTGCAGAAGCTGCGGGGCCCCCGCGCCCGTCTCTGTGCGGCAGCGGGCCGTGGAGGCGGCGGCAGGCCCGCCCCCGCCTGCGGCGCGGCCGCCGTGGGCTGCGGCGCCCAAGGCCGAGGTGGGCGCCAAGGCCGGCGCCAGGGCGGCACCAAAGGCGGAGGCGGCGGCCGCAGGGCCGCCTTGGGTGCACGGCGGAGGCAAGCCTCGGCGAGTGGGCTTCCGTGAGGCGGAGGTGGTCGAGATCGAGGAGGACGGCGAGGTCGACCAGCTGGCCGCGACGCTGCGGCTGCTGGAAGAGCGCGGCGTCCAGCTGGACGATGAGGCGCAGAGGAAGCTGGGCGTCAAGCAGGAGGCCGACCCAGGCAAGGCGGCCCCAGAGGCGCCCAAGTCGCACAACGAGGCGGTGCAGAGCGCCATGTGGATGGTCAAGAGCGCGGCGGTCAAGCTCGAGCGGGCCCAGCGGAGCCTGGAGGCCGCTCAGGGCGCTTTGGCGGACGCCCAGCTGGCGGCGAACAAGGCCGCGGAGGCCAAGGAGGCCGCGGCCAAGGTCCACGCCCAGGCGCAGGACCTGCTCGAGCGCGCCAGGAGGGTGGAGCAGGCTGGCCTCCCGCCTGAGGCTCAGCTCGACCAGGGAGCGCAGGGCGTCGACAGGTTGGCCCAGGCCACCCTCGGCGCGAGGTACGCAGCCGAGCTCAAGGACCACTTCGAGGGCGAGGAGGCGGTCCAGGTCACCCAGGCCATCGAGCTGTTCTCGAGGCTCGCCTCCTCGTGTCAGGCCCGCGTCGAGGCGGCCGCCGAGCGGGCGGCGGAGGTCCCACCTCCTGGGGCGCCTCCTGCCGCTGCTGCTCCTGCTGAGCGCCCTCCCGACGGCCCAGGCGGGGCGCCTGCAGCTGGAGGGGGCGCAATGCAGGAGGGGGGCGACGGCTTCGCCGCCAGGGTTGAGGCCCTCGACGGGGCCAAGCGAGCCGAGATCGAGCGTTTCCTCGAGTCGCGCGGCTGCTCCCTGCCCATGCGCCTGCGCCTCCCAGGGGGCTCCGCCGCGGGCCAAGGCGCGGCCGAGGCAGCAGATGAAAGCGCTGACAGTCACTGAGGCGCCCGAGGGCGCGGAGGCGGCAGCTGCCGACCGCGGGGCCCCGGCGCCCCACGAGGGCTCGCTTTGGAGGCTGGTCTCTGCCAGCGCGGCCTCCAGGGCGAGCATGCGACGCCGGCTGCAGGAGGAGGCGCAGGGCGACATCCTCCTCGTGCAGGAGACGGGCGTGGCGCCAGGGGCGAGGGCGGAGGTCGAGCAAGCCGCCAGACGAGATGGCTGGAAGGCCTCCTTCACGGAAGCTCGCCGCACGGAGCGATGGGGGGCTCTCCAGCGGGGTCGGCCTCGTGTGCAGGGCCCACTTGGGCATGGGCATGCCACCCGCGGGGCCTGCGTTGCCCCCCGACAGGATGGCGGCCCGCTGGGTGAGCGCCGTCGTCCCAGGAGGTTTCCTGGCGGTCTCGGTCTACCTGGTGGCGACCACCAGCGGCCTTGACCCCGAGAGCAGGGTGTTGCTCGCGCAGTTGGGTCAGTACCTCGTGGCGGTGCAGGCCCCGTGCGTCATCGGCGGCGACTGGAACTGCGCACCGCAGGAGATCGAGAGATGGGGCCGGCCCGATCGTGTCTCGGGCTTCGTGGCGAGCTCGGGGCAGGCCACCTGCGGGGTTGGAGGAGGCGCAGAGATCGACTTCTTCGTGATATCCTGCAGCATGGGCGCGGCGGTGAAGAGTGTCTCGCGCCTGGGCGAAGCGCTGGGCCCACGCTACCCTGTGCAGCTGACGCTGGACGGCAAGAAGGAGCCTGAGAGGGCTCTGTGGCATCGGGCGCCAAGGCCTTTCCCCACCGAGCGGCCAGTGGGGCCGAGGCGCGAGCCGCCCCGCTGGACAGGCTTGCTCTCGGACCTGGCGGACGCCATCGCGGCGGCAGCACCCTGCAGCGCTGCTGGCAGCCAGGGCCCGCGCGAGGACGGCGAGGCGGGCGCTGCTGCCGATGAAGGCGCCGCTGGCATGGACGAGTCGCTCGACCAGGGAGGCGGCGAGAGGCGCGATCCAGGGGGGCCAGTTCCGTTGGGAGCGGCCCCCCAGGATCCAAGTCCTGGGACAAGCAGTTGGGGGCATCCTGCGATGCATTGCCCTGCGGTGGATGCGAGCTCCGACGGCCCTGGGGCAGCGCCGGGCGTTCTGGGGCCGCCTTTGCTGCTGCCACCGTCGGCTTCGGCCGAGGCGCGGCGACGAGTCCGTGCGTGCTACGACGAGGACTGGGCGGAGGTCGTCCACTCCTTGCAGGGCGACGTGCTGGGCTCGCCCCTGCACGCCACCACGGAGAACGTGCTCGAGCCTGCAGGGCAGGCTGGTGGCGCAGGCCAGCGGCACCTGAAGTCGGGCTCGAGGGCGACCTGGGGGTCGACGGCGCGAGGGGCCCAGCGGCTGGCGGCAACCAGTCTTGGCGTGAGGGCGCTGGGGCGAGGCAATCACAGTCGTGGGGATCTGGCGCGGGCCCTCAGGCCGCTGCAGCAGGCCTAGGACGCTGGGCGAGCTCTACTGCAGTTTTGCGGCGCTGCTCGAGGAGGACTTGGGCGGCCTTTTCGACATGAGGCAGGAGGACTTGAGGAAGTGCGTGGGGCGCGGCGAGCCCGCGTCGCGCCCCTGATGCGCTTCCTGGGCAAGATCAGGCACGACGAGGCGAAGTGCTGGGGGGCCGCCAAGGACAGGCCCTACTTCTTCGGCGGGGCTGGCAGGCCCTGCGAGGACGCGGTGCGGCTGCAGAGCTTCGACGCGGACCACGCGACGGCGCCGAATTTAGAGGCCGCTTCCGCGCTCCTGGATCTCAGCAAGGCCTACGAGAGGGCCACTCACAGAGGGATGGTCCACGCCGCGGTGAGGGAGGGCTTCCCGCTGCGGAGGATCAAGATCCTCCTCCGCCTCTACGGAGGCAGGAGGCGCCTCTGTTTGGACCGCTGGGAGACGGAGGCCTTCCAGGTGGTCCTGTCATTGCTGGCGGGCTGCTCCTTCGCCACGACGCTGCTTCGCGTGGTGTTGGTCGAGCCTTTGGACGCGATGCTCGCGTCCTGGCAGATGGTGCGCCCATGCCTTGTGGTCGACGACATCACGCTGGCGGTCTACGCTAAGCGCGCGCTGCTGGAGCACATCTTGGTCGGAGCCACCCGCGCCCTCTGTTTGGCCCTGGAGACCATCGGCTTCGCCATCTCCTTGACGAAGGGCCAGGTCCTGCGCGCCGACTCCGGGATCACCAAGCGGGACGTCCACGGGCTCAGGCGTTGGAAGTTCGCGCACGTGAAGGCCACGAAGAACTTTGGGGTGGATTTCACCATGCCGAGGTCGTCTTCATGGAAGGTGCTCCGCCAGGGGATCAACCGCCTGGGCCAGAGGGCTGGGCGGTGCAGGGCCCTGCGCAAGGCGGGGGCCAAGCGGCTCCCCAAGGTTTTCAGGACAGGAGGGTTGGCGTCCATCCTCCATGGAGCGAGGGTCAGCGGTGTGCACGCGAAGACCCTGCAGCGCGCCCGCGCAGTCAACGGCAGGGCTATCCGGGCGAGATCGGCCAGAAGTCCAGGACCGTGCTCTTCGCCCTGCAGGGGGGCAAGGACTGGAAGCACGACGCAGCCCACGCGGCGCACGCCCTCCCGCTGAGGGCTTGGGCTCGCGCCGTCTTCCTGCGCGTGCGGCCTCCCGCGGTCTTCATGCAGGTGCTGGGGCGCAGACCAGGAGACTGGGGTGAGGTCACTGGGCCAGCGGGGGCAGTCCGCCTCTCGCTGGAGCGCATCAGATGGGAACTACTGGACTGGCACCGCTGGAGGGACGACCGCGGGCAGATTCTTGACTTGCAGCTGCTCAGCCCGCGGATGGTGACCAGCCTCGCCGAGAGAGGGGCCCATCGCTACCTCATGCTGAAGATCGCGAGCCACGTCGGCTTCGAGCACCCCCAGGGCCGCCCGCCCGACCTGGAGCCGTTCAGGGCGGCCCTGGCGAGCATGCGGCGCGCGGGCAAGTCGCAGGGGGCCGCGCTGGTGGAGGCGCGCATGGCGGGCGGGCTCATCACGCAGTCCGACCTGCACGACGAGAGGGTGGAGCTCAGCCCGCTGTGCCAGTGGCGCGGGGAAGCGCCAGGCACGGCACATCGCGGGCTCTTCGTGCGCCCCGCCATCGCCTGCTGGGCGCGTGACCTGGGCTTCCAATCGGTCGCCGACGCTGGCAGAAGGGCGCCGCAGGACGACATGGGCCTGGTGCGGGGCCTCCTCCACCTTGGGCTGGACCAAGCCCCGCCCCCTGGCACGGACGAGCTCTGCCACCGCGCAGGTTGCGCGCGGCAGGGCTACCTCGACGGCGTCATCTGCATCGACGGGTCCGCCCGGTACCCCGAGATCCCGTGCCTGACGCGCGCGGGCTGGGCGGCCGTGGTGGTAGGCGATGTTGGGGACTTTCGAGGCGGCCTCTACGGGCTCACGCCAGGCTGGATCCAAGAGATCGGCTACGCGGAGCTCTACGCGCTGCGCAGGGCGCTGGAGGAGGTCGGCCCATCGCCCATCACGTCCTACACCGACTGCAAGGGGATCAAGGACGATTTCGAGGCGGGCCGTGATCACTGCTGCGGCCCAGGTCACAAGTACGCGGACCAGTGGGGGCGGATCTGGCAGCTGCTCGACGACTTGGGCCCTGGTTTCCTCACGCTGATGCGGCTGCTGTCGCGCGCCTCGTGGGCCAGGGCCAGCGCCGCAGGAGCGCCCTGGCAGGCCTTCGCAGGCAACGAGGAGGCCGACGCGAGGGCGAAGGAAGGCGCCAAGCTCCACCCCCAGCAGGAGCGGCTTCGTGAGTTGAGCCGCCGCGTCGGCGCTGCCGCCTTGCAGGCCGAGGCCTGGTGCGGCCACCACGTACGGGGGGGATCCTGAAAAGGCTCGCCGACCTCGGGTGGCCCGATCGCGGGGCGCTGCCTGGGCCCAGGAGTTTGGACCCTGGGACCCTGGCCCTGGTGGGGCCCGACAGGGGCCACGTCCTGGCCAGGCTCGGACGAGCCTGGGGCTGTTCGACTTGCGGGATCCGTCGGGCTACCAGGGCCAGGGTCGTCTCCAGCACCTGTCCAGGACTCCCGTGGTTGGTCGCCAGGTCCCACCCGTCCCACAGGCTCTGGGTGATTCGGGGCGGGGACGGGTCGTGTCGGAGGTCCTTTGGGACGGGTGGCTGTCTTGTGTTCTGTCGCACGTGCGGGGCCCACGGGAGTCGCCGAGCGAAGCTCCTGGCCGACCCCTGCGTCCCGCTGACCAGACAGGGGCGCGACGCAGCCCGCCTGGCTCGCCGCGCCCTCGAGCGCCTCCGTGCGGAGCGGGGGCCCCAGGCTGGCTCCCGCTGGGGAGGGGCTCCTTTGCCTGTCTCGAGGGCGGCGGCGGGGAAGGTTTAGATTTTTCCCGGCGGAGCCGGGTGAAATTCCGTGCCCGCCGGCTGACTGATGACTGACTGAACGTCAGGGGACAGCTCGGGAGACACATTTCAAACCGCCCGCGGGAGCGCAACCCGAGCGCGCAACCGCAACCGCAACCGCAACCGGGCGACACATTTCAAAGCGCCCGCGGGCGCGCAACCGCAACCGCAACCGGGCGACAAATTTCAAAGCGCCCGCGGGAGCGCGCAACCGCAACCGCAACCGCAACCGGGCGACACATTTCAAAGCGCCCGCGGCGCGCAAGCGCAACCCAACAAACGCAACCGGGCGACGCATTTCAAAGCGCCCGTGGGAGCGCGCAACCGCAACCGCAACCCGGCGACACATTTCAAAGCGCCCGCGGGAGCGCGCAACCGCAACCGCAACCGCAACCGGGCGACACATTTCAAAGCGCCCGCGGGCGCGCAACCGCAACCGCAACCGGGCGACACATTTCAAAGCGCCCGCGGGAGCGCGCAACCGCAACCGCAACCGCAACCGGGCGACACATTTCAAAGCGCCGCGGGCGCGCAACCGCAACCCAACAACGGCAATTGGGCGACACATTTCAAAGCGCCCGCGGGGGCGCGCAACCGCAACCGAAACTGCAACTGGGCGACACATTTCAAAGCGCCCGCGGGAGGGCGCACCCGCAGGGTTTCAAGGGGGTCGATTGCGCGTGCACTTGTGCGTAAGCTGCCCGCGGAAGGTGGCGCGTAGGCGCCTTAGTGCGAGGACGAGGATGGCGAGGAGGAAGGAAGTGGAGGGGGAGGAGGAGGAGGATGGTGAGGAGGGGGAGGAGGACAATGAGGAGGAGGAGACGGATGCCGAGGAGGAGGCGGAGGAGGAGGAGGAGGAGGAGGAGGACAATGAGGGGGTGGAAATGGATGCCGAGGAGGAGGGGGACGACGACGACGACGACGACGACGACGACGACGACGACGACGACGACGACCAGGACGACGACGACGACGACGAGGGCGAGGAGGAAGACTGAGCAACAGTAGGGGGATGGGCTGGGGGGGGGCAGGGGGCGGGGGACGACAAGGAGAAGAAGGAGGAGCCACTGGCGGAGGGCCCGACGACGAGCCCCCGCGTGGCCCGCGGTTCTCCGCCGGGACATTGCAGCGGGGAATCCCTATTCCACGCTGCTGCCCTTGATTGGTTTCCCCGCTCCAAGGGACCTGCCCACAGCCAGGTGTCTGTCCCTTGTGGGTGTCCTGGGGGTCTGCGTGAGGTGTTGTTTGTTCCCCGTATCGGGGCGTGAAGGCTGGTTGCGGAAGCGGACCGCCTCCTTTAGGAACAGAGGGAACTAGGAGGAGGAGGACGGGATGAGGAGGAAAGTGGAGGAGGGAGGGAGGAGGAAGGAGGAGCAGAGGATGAGGAGGAGGAGGAGGAGGAGGAGATGGAGGGGATGGAGGACCAGAGTGAGCCCAGGGTCGTCGCTCGAGGCAGCAGCGGCGGGCCGTGGCTCCGTCGCGCCGCCCTGCCCTCCCCTCCCCGAGCCGGAGGACTGCCCGCGCCGTCGCTTGAAGGCCATGAGCGCCCCGCAGCGCGAGCCGACGGTGCAGGCGGGCCCCCCCCCCTCCAGGGCTCGTTCCGGTTCCCTCGATGTGGTTCGGTCCGCTTTCGAGTGCTGCCGACTCCGATTCGATTCGACTTCGGTCTCCGACTGGGGCCCCGATTTCTTCATGGAGGCCTTCTAGCCTGCCGACTTGTCCGCCGAGTCGACCCTTCCCGACTCGACTGCCGACTCCCGCCGATCCGATCCACTTCGATCGCCGATGCGACTTCTCGATGCGGTCGTGGGCCCTCCTGCCCGCCACACGTTCCCGGGCCCCCCGGAGGGGGCCCGAGCAGGCGGGGCCGGAGGGCCGCGCCGCATCGGCTCCGTGCCTCGGCGACGCGGCTCGACGCGGAGCCCGACGTCCTCCGCGCCGACGCCGCCGATGCGCCGCCGGTGCCTCGAGGACGTCGGCGCGGTCCTCTGGCCCCCTCCTGCTCGGGCCCTGCCTCCGGGAGGCCTCCGGCGCCGCTCCGTCCGCTGCCGCCGCGCTCTCTCCCCTGCGGGGGAGAGCGGGAGGCCGGGCCGCCCCGCGGGGGCGCGAAGAGATCTCCTCGCGCTGCGCGCGCGCCCCGGGAAGTCCGACGACGACGCTGTTCCTCCCCGCCAGCCTGTGGTGCTGGGTCCTCGTCTTCGGGGCCGCGTCTCCTTCCTGCCTCCAGGGGCCTCCTCCTTCGCCGCCTCCTCCTTCTCCTCCTCCTCCTCCTCCTCCTCCTCCTCCTCCTCCTCCTCCTCCTCCCCCTGGTCGGGCCTGTGTGCCCCCTGGTGCAGGCGGGGAGCACCGGGCCTTCAGGGCACAAGCCCCCGCACCTGGGGACGGCCGCCATAAGCGCGGCCTTCCTTCCCCAGGGGGGTCGCCAGGTCCCGTGTGCTTCCCCAGGGCGGTGCTGGGTTCCCCCCCAGCACTCGCCGCCCTGGGGCGGGGTCGGCGGCCCGTCCCTGTCGTGTCGCTCGTTCGTGTCGTGTCGTTCGTGTCGCGTCGTTCGTTTCGTCCCCCTGTCGTGTCGTGTCGTGTCGTGTCGGGGTCCCGGGGTCCGAAAAGCGGCCACCCATGGAGTGGGTGGTGGGTAGGGTTGGCGCGGAGCACGTGCTCCTGCGCCCCCTACCCCGACCAGGGAGCGCGGAGCACGGTCTCCTGCGCTCCCTGGTCGCGCTTCGGTCGCGCCACGGGGGCACGGCCCCGACCGTGGCGCGGCCGTTTTTCTCGCTGGCACTCGCCACGCCAGCGGAGTCATGTGGCTGTTCATGGGTTGACCCTAAAAAAAAAAATCCTCCTCCTCCCCCTACTCTGCCAGCATTACGCTTCAGGCTTTTCTCCCTAAAGCTCCCTCGGAGGCCGAACTTAGAGATGGGAACTGCTCGCGTTCGCCTGACAAAGTTAGGGTCCTGGGGCGGAGGAACACCGACGTACAGCTCTTGTCTGCCGTGATGAATCGAGCGATCCGTCCTGTGCTAGATGCTGTTGTTCCCTCTAACCAACGTGGGTTTGTACCTAATCGTAACTTCGGGCTGAACATCATCGACATCGATGGGTATGCTCGTCAGCTGTCTGTGCGTGAACCTGGTTCCCTGGACATCCCCCTGCTGTTCTCCCTGGATTTCGGCCAAGCCTTCCCGTCGCTTAATCAAGACTATATGTTACATGTGCTTACCTCCCTCCAGCTTCCTGACTTCTTCTTGGCGTTCGTGGGTTCTATGTATGCTGCGATCGAAGGTGTGGCGTCGGTCCGAGGGGTCCTGGTGACTCTGTTCTGGGTACGCAGTGGCATTATTCAAGGGGACGGATTGTCGGGCTCATTATTCGCTCTAGGGACGTCCTCATTTCTCTACGACCTGGCGGCCTCGATCGAACTGCGGGCACGCGGCCTGGCACGGGCTTGTGCTGACGATATTGGGGGAGCTCTTCGGGCGTTATCGGACTTGGGTATACTGTATCGGGTGATATGCGAATCTCTGCCTCAAGGTGGCGAAGTGTAAGTTAGTACCGCTATCGGCTAGGTTCTCTGATCGGCTGGCCTCGGTGGTGAGTGACGAGTTGAGGGTGCTTGTTCCTGGGTGGGCTGAGTTTGAGGTGTGTGACTCGCTATTGTACTTGGGGTTGTGGCTTGGGCCAGGCGTCGACTCGTTTCGGTCGTGGTGTGATCCGTTGTCAAAGCTCCGTTTGCGGGCTCAAGCAATTGGTCGAGGCGTGACACCCGCGAGCGTCTCTGCGACCCTCTACAATACGAGAGCCGTCGCTACACTTTCATATGTTGCTCAGTTCTGTGCCATGCCGATTGATGTGCTGAAGGTGGAGCTCACAGTGTTAGCGCAAGCTTTTCGTGTTCCACTCGGGGCTCTATCACTGGCGGCCTGGACTCAAGTCGACGCTTGGGGTGGTCCTCGTGTTGTCAGATGGGGACACTTGGGCATGGCCACTCTGGCCCGCTCAGCGTTGGTCACGTTCCCCAACTACGCTCGTGTGCTGAGTCAGATGCGCGCGCATGTCCAGCATAATGACTCTTGGCGTACGCTTTGTATGTTAGCGAGTGGACGTCCCTACCCTAACTTCTGGCGCTCGATCTCGTTCGCGGAGACGCTGGAGGAGGCGGAGCATGCGCGGATGAGAGGGCCTCTCGCGGTGATGGCTGCTCCTGCGGTTGAGGCGGCACGTGCAGAGCTCCTCGCTGCTGTTGGTCGCCGTCCCCGTCCTCAACGTGCTGCACATCGGGCTCTTCGCGCTGCTGCTCATGGATCGTCACCGTTGTATCGGCTCATCACTTCTAGATTGATCAAGCTGCTACCTCGGCACGAGCAGATGTTGGCCCTCGTGGACTGGGACATGATTATGTTGCTGCTACGTCGCTGCCCGTGCTCCTGGGCGTGGGCTTCGCTGCGCACATGGATGGATGCCTGGATGACTTCGGCGCGAATTCTGCATCCCAGTGGACAACGTCGGTGTGCACATGGATGCGATGCGAGAGACTCTCTGGCTCACTATGCCAGGTGCAGGCCCATGCTTGCCGCCTTGTGTCGTGCGTTGGCTCGGCCTTTTCCTGCTCCAGTACTGCGTCGATGGGGACTATGGGCTCCCCGTGTTGAGGATTACGCTTTCTTGACTGCTGCCTACGCGATGTACAATCAGACGAAGTTGATTGCGGACTGGCCTCTTGACGCGACGCAGTGCTACACGTGTGCTCTTGCTGGGGTGAAGTATATGATGATGGCCCGTCCAGCTGTTCTTTCTGACGCCGAGCGAGTACGCCTCGGACACCGCGACTGGCGTGGTGATGTATCTCGCTGCTCCTCCTCTTCGGGGTCTTCTGGCTCGTCCTCGGCGAGCTCCACGACATCTGCCGCGTCTGGGGGTCCGAGATTGACGCCTGCTGTATCTTCCGACTCCGATGCCGACACCGCAGCGACGGAGCTGGCCACGCCTCCGTCGTACGACGATGAGCTACCCGTCGAGCTGGGAGAGACTTCTGACGATCTGGTCATGATGGACCTTCGCCCCCAGATTCCACCGACTCCCGCCACGTTGATTGCGACTCCCGAGCGGTCTAGCTCGCCAGACTCTTCCGGCTCGTCGGCGGGTGTGGTCAGAACGCTGCGTCCTGGCGGTGGGTGCTCCTCGAGCCCACCTGCCTCGTGTAGGTTGTCGGCAGATGAGGTCAGAACGCTAAGTCCTAGCGGTGGGTGCTCCTCGAGCCCATCTGCTCAGGCATCTAGAGTGAATTGCGAGGACTTGTCTCAGACCCCCACTGTCTTGGTTACGTGTGAAGTTAGAACGCTAAGTCCTGGCGACGGGTGCTCCTCGAGCCCGTCGTTTCAGGCTTCTCGAGTAAATTGCGAGGAGTGGTCTAGTTCGGTGCGTTGCGCCCCCCATCGTGATCGTCTGGTGTGTGAAGCTGTCAGAACGCTAAGTTCTGTGCGTGGGTGCTCCTCGAGCCCACGGCCACAGGCTCAGGTTTGTTGCGAGGAAGGAACCGCGGGACCTGTGGTTTCTACGGTGGCGAGTTGGTCGCGTCGTGGGTGCATTTGGGCGACGACTCCGATTCCCCGCTCGGTGGGGACCCTGTGTGATACCCCGCCGACCTCTGCGTCCAGGTGTGCCTCACAGGTGGCGACTCCAACATCTCGTTCAGCTGCCATGGCGTGCTCCTCGCCCATTGAGTGCCCTGTAGCCGACAGCCTGTCCCTGTGGTCGTTTCTGCCCCCGTCCGTCGCTCCGCTGAGCTCGGCTTCTGCTGCTGCGTGCTCCTCCCCTGCTCCCCTCCTCACCGCGCTGCCATCGCAGCCCGACCATGTGTCTCTCTCGGCCTCTCCTAGCTTTGTTTCTCCCCCGTCCCTTCCGCGTGTTGCTGCCCCCCTCGCTCATCCATTGATTGAAAGAACGGCTCACGACGTGTACATCGCTTTCGGCCCTGTTCAGGCCGACCAGCTCATGTCTGGTGCGCCCTCGCTCCCACCGCGGCCCCGCCCGCCTCCCGACGTCTTCAAGTGCGTCGAGGCGCGGCCGAGGAGTGGGAGTGGGTAGGCAGGCATGGAGGATCCTCTTCGTACGCTGGGCTCCTCCTCCTCCTCCTCCTCCTCCTCCTCCTCCTCCTCCTCCTCCTCCTCCTCCTCCTCCTGTTCGGAGTCGGCTCCGCCTGCGCCGCCGATCTCGGCACACCCCTCGCACGCGCGTCGTGGCCTCACGGGGCGCTCCACCGAGGGCCTCAGAGGCAGCGTTCGTACGGCGGCCCCGCACCCATCTTGGCGCGCCCCTCGCGCGCTTCGTATCCCCACAGGGAGCTGCGCCGAAGGCCCCGGTGGCAGCTTTCGCATGGCGGCCCCGTGCCCATTTCGGGGCGCCCCTCGCAGGCTTCGTGGCTCCAGCGGGAGCTCCACCGAAGGCTATACCTACAACGGCGATGTTCAAAACTGCACATGGTTGGGCCCTTCGCTCGGATAATCTATATTTTGTGTGGCTTCCGTAGAATCCGGCCCCGGGGGCTTCTTCTGGGGCACCACTAGCATAGACGACTTTGATCTGGGGCGGAAAGCTGCCCCCCCGGGGAAGTGGCGGGGACCTCCGGGACCGCTGGAAAAAACACATCAGCGGATGTCTGCGTCGTGGTTTGGGCCAGGGCCGTGGCCCCTCTCCCCTTAGTATGTCGCAGGGGCCAGCGCCGATCCCGGAGATCCGCGCGGACTTCCTGAAGTTGTCCTCTTCCGGCCCAGGACATCAGATTGATTATGATGCCCTTCTTTCCTTTAGCATGGTCTTCCTTCCTTCATTTGTGAGGTGTGTCCTTCCTCGCTCCTCTTCCGCTGCCTTCTTCGGGGCTCCGGGGCTCGGACCGTTCCCGAAACTCGGGTCGGGGGACCTGGCCGCGGCCGAGGCTCGCCATGGCCAGACGCGCACCCCTTCGGCGCTGACGCAGCGTGTCTGCTGGCCAGCAGAGGGGTTGCGCGTTGGACGTTCCAGAAAAGGGCCTCGCCTACAGTGGAAACCCATGCCAGGAAACGCCCTGCTTGCCTCCAGGGTGCCCTGGGTTCCTTCGGCTTCGATGATGGGTTTGCTACGGAAGGCGTGATTTTCCCACGCCAAAGATCAATGGGCGTCCTGGGGTCTCCGGGTGGGGTTTCTCGTGGGAAATTTCTTCTGGTCGAGCCCCTGCTGTATCCATGGATAGCGGGGTTGGCGTCTCCTCCGCAGCGGAGGGCCGGCGGAGCTAAAACCGCGGCCGGTCCGCCGGCGGAAGGCGGGTGGGGAGGCGGCTCGAGCCTGCATGGCGCTGCTGTGCATCCTGGCGCAGCCGATCTGCGACCCGATTCGATGTCGACCCTGTGCCTGGAGGAAGGGCAAAATGCATAAACATAAACGTTCAGAGCTCCGCGCGGATTTTTTGAATCTGCCCTGAGCCCCCCTGGCGGCGCCTTTTGCGCCGCCCCTGGCGCGCTCCGCGCGTCAGGGAAGGGTTTTAGCGCAGATCCGGTAAATCTGCGCGGACCTCCGACAGTATAGTGCCGGTGCAGTCCGATCTGTTCCGTGCCGACGGGACTTGCGTCGCTCTCCGAGGATGTCTCGCGCGACTGGGGCCTTCAGCGTCCCAACATGGTGCGGTGACGGACCGTGCGGTGAGGTCTCTGGGGTTCTCAAGGTCGCCGCACGGTCTGCCACCGCACGGTCTGCCACCGCACCGTTTTGGGACCCCCACTGGTCGGTGAGTAATTAGATCGTTGGCGTGGCCCGCCGTGTGGGCACCTGCTCCATGCCCCACGCATCCTGAGTCACACAATGTAGGCAGCGACGCGAGCCCTCGGCCCGGTGCCAAGCAGCAGCGGGTGAAGCTCTGCGCCGGCCGATCAGGGCCGGGGGCGGAGGCGGAAGGGGAGGTTGGGGAGGAGGAGCGCGAGCAGCAGCAGCTCTTTTTCAGGAAGTAGTAGTAGCCCAACGGATCTTGGGAACAGCGCCTGAACGCCCCCCGCCGTCGCCTCCGCCGTCGGCGCCGTCGCCGCCGCGGTTGCCGCCGTCGCCGCCGCCGGCGGGCGAGCGCGGGCAGCGAGCGCGGGCAGCGAGCGCGGGCAGCGAGCGCGGGCGGGGTGCCCTCGGGAGCTTCCCGGGGGCGTCTGCGGTGCACGACGCGCTCCCGCGCGGCTCGGCCGGGCAAGCGTCGCGAGCGCGGCGCCAGGTCGAGTCCGCTCTGTGGGCCTCCGACGCGCGGGACCTGTTCGACTTCGAGGAGGGCGCCGCCGGCCTTCGTGCTCCCCTTCTGGTTTTCTCAGGAGGGAAAGAAACACACAGACACAATGAATCGTCGATTCCCCAGAAACTATGGGAAGATATGGGAAGTGGGGGGGAAGACAGAAACCCAGAACATATGGGGAAATATGGGACATCCTTTTATTTCTGTGTATTTATGTGTGTGTGTGTGTCTCAGGGCCCCTTCATGGGCTTCAGCGGGCGAAGAGCGGTGGAACGTGATTCGTTGCGCGATTCGGGGACGCCTGTCCCAGGGCGGCTGGAAAGACCACACCCCCACCTGCCAACGTAGGGGTATAGACTTCTCAGCCGCCCTGGGACAGGCGTGCACGATTGCGGAACAGTCAGTTTTATGCCGCTTCATTTCTTCCTGGTATGATAGAAATGATAAGGATAAGAAGGATCAAACTTATTGTTGTTGTTATTCCTCTTCTTTTTCTCCTTCACCCGATCACGCGAAGCGATCTTTGTGACGACCTTGGCCGCTCCGAGTCGTCCATCAGCGCCGAGGCGGCCTAGCGCGTCGCCTCGGCACCGATTGTGGGGCAGCTGTTATGTGCCACGGCTAGGTTTGCCTCCGCCTCCTCCTCCTCCTCCTCCTCCTCCTCGTCCTCCTCGTCCTCCTCCTCCTCCTCCTCCTCCTCCTCCTCCTCCTCCTCTCCTCCTCCTCCTCCTCTTCCTCCTCCTCCTCCTCCTTCGGCTTCCGCTCTCAGCTTGGCTAGCCGCCTTACATACCAAACTGCTGATGAACATTTGCCGGGGAGCCGCAAGTTGTGATGACGTCGACGATGGGACATCGGGTGCAGCTTATTGCGAGGCGGCAAGCGGGACTGATTTGATACCCTGTGTCGCGGATGATGCAGACGAGGACAGTTTGTGCGAATCGTATCGCACACGATGAGTTTCGTCGTGCTGCGAATGAGGCTTGTCAAATCATGTATGTCGCGGTCGGGTAATGCTTTCAGTTGGTATGCCATTTCTGGCAGATTATGTCATCGAGATGATTGCAGCGCCAGTTCCGATCGCCCTGTGGAAACGAGAAGGCAGGTTCGTGTCGTGTCGACGCGGCGGCGATCCCAGTGCGGGCGGTTCAGGTTGAACGCCGTCAGTGGTCCGGAATCGGTCCATGTTGTGTCGAATGGTCTGCGATAGTGAAAAGCCGCGATCGTGCAAGGTTGAGAAATCCACGCGGTGCCAGAAGCCGACGCCCAAGTCGACTCGACACGAACCTGTCGTATGGATAAACCTCCGCCTTGCTCTCGAGACGTTGGATGTTTGCGTCCGCCCCTCGCGATGCCTGCCCGACCCACCCGTTTGAGTCCGCCTGCCCGATTCTCCCGTCGGGGATCGTCGTCGCAGTCGCCGCCCTCGTAGCCGTTGTCGCCGTTGCCCCCGTCGCCGTCAGGCTGCCCCCTGGGTTTCGGGCCACAATCATGTCTCCGACGGCCGTTCGGGACACTCTGGGCACCCCCAGACTGCTCTCGGCGAGGCGCAGCCGCTGGAAGGTGTCTCGAGGCTGGAAAACCGCCGAGATCAGTCGAAAACGCCCGAGCACCTCGAACCATGAAGCGATCGTCATGCAGTGGTTGAACCCTGTGCGTGCATTCGAGACTCGAAGAACAACACAATGTGAACATAATGCATCGGAGGTCGGCACGACACGATCTTGCCGTAGCAAGTTGCAAGTCGATGCTGAGGTGGGTGATGTTTGGCCTCAGCTGGAAGTTCAGACGGTGGCACATGCCCTAAGTGGCTTCAGGGCGTAGAGATCAGGGCCAAGTGAGCGACGCAAAATAAGTGGTCGCTTGCGCCGACATTGGCGCGTAAGCTGACCGCGTAAGGTCGCGCGTCAGCGCCCCCGTCTTCAATGTGGCGTGCCGCGTTGGTGGCCCGCGTCTTCAATGTGTTGTGCCGCGTTGGTGTGCCGAGTGTAACGTTGCTTCGCCATCTCGCGTAAGACCCACTTCAGTGGGCGGAGCCGTACGCCGCATGCCGTAGGCCTGCGTCCGCCCTTCGGCGCCCGCCCCAGGCGGCCGGCGCCAGGACCCGGAACTTCGATCTGCCCAGGCCGGCTTGCGGGGGAGGGGCGCCTCCTCCACCTCCTCCTCCTCCTCCTCCTCCTCCTCCCTCCCTCCCTCCCTCCCTCCCTCCCTCCCTCCCTCCCTCCCTCCCTCCCTCCCTCCTCCCTCACTCCTCCCTCCTCCCTCCCTTCCTCCCTCCCTCCTCCCTCCTCCCTCCTCTCCCTCCTCCCGCCTCGGGGGCGGCAGGGGCGTCGAGGGAGGAGAGGAGGGCGAGGAGCGACGAGGAGGAGGGAGGAGGAGCTGGGGGGACGAGAGCGTAGCGAGGAGGAGAAGGAGGAGGACGAGGAGGAGGAGGAGGAGGCGGCGGCGGAGGAGGAGGCGGAGGAGGAGGAGGCGGCGGCGGAGGAGGAGGAGGAGGCGGAGGAGGAGGAGGAGGAGGAGGAGGAGGAGGAGCGAGAAGAAGGAGGAGGAGGAACGAGGAGCGAGAAGTAGGAGGAGGGGGATCTGCAGGACGAGTAGGAGGATGAGGATGTGGCGGAGAGGGGGGAGTCGTTGTTGTTGCTGTCGATGATGATGATGTTGTTGATGATGATGCTGATGATGTTGTTGTTGATGATGATGATCATGCTGATGCTGATGCTGATGCTGATGCTGATGCTGATGATGCTGGTGATGATGAGGAGGAGGATGCTGCTGCTGCTCATGATGATGATGGTGGTGATGATGATGATGATGATGATGATGCTGGTGATGACGCTGCTGCTGCTGCTGATGATGATGATGAGGACGATGATGATGATGATGATGATGATGATGATGATGATGATGATGATGATGATGATGATGATGATGATGCTGATGCTGATGCTGATGCTGATGCTGCTGCTGATGATGAGGATGATGGTGGTGGTGATGGTGGTGGTGATGATGACGATGATGATGACGATGCTGATGACGATGACGATGATGCTGATGCTGATGCTGCTGCTGCTGCTGATGATGATGACGATGATGATGAGGAGGAGGAGGAGCGATGATGCCAATTTCGCGTTCGAAGACCTCGATCCTCGATCGCTCGATCCTCGAACCTCGAACCTCGATCCTCGATCCACGATCGATCCATCCTCGAATCCCGGCGCTCGATCCTCGATCGATCGACGGGTCGATCGGTCGACCGGCGGCGCTGCCGCAGCCGCCCAGGTCGGCGAAGATCGCCCGGGTGGGCGGGTCGCTGATGCCGCTCGAAGGGCGCGCCCGCCGCCCCGCTCGCCCCGTGTCTCGCCGCGCAGGGCGCGCGCGCGCGCGGGCCGGGCCCCAGCGGAGTGCTCACCAGGGGCTTCCAATCAGATGCGACGAGAGCCGAAGAACAAACGATGCCTTAAACATAAACTTTTGGCGTTCCGCACGGACTTCTTGGGTCCGCGCTGGGCCCCCCCGGCGGCGCCTCCGGCGCCGCCCCTGGCGCGCGGAGCGCGCCAGGGAGGGGGGTCGACCGCAGACCCAATAAATCCGTGCAGAGCGCCGAGACTTGAAGTTTATGCCATTTATCTCCCTTGAGAGGGGCGAACACATTCGAGCATCTGGCTAATCGGGGGCGGCAAAGAGGGGGGTGATGTCTGGGGTGGGGTAGAACCCGTGGCGGGGGCCATGGCATCTCCCTAGATTTCATGGCGCGTCGTAGTTCAATACGTCCCCGGCCCCCCTGGGCCGCGCACATTCCGCCGGCCATGAGTTGCGCTCCCACCTACTGGACGCCCCCCTCTTGGACGCCCCCGAGTTGAGGAACCTCCTGCCGAAAAGCTGGGGCAGCGTTTTTCCACCGACTGGCTGGCAAAGCCGGCCCAGTCTTTGAGGCACGTGCGCCCTTGCAGCATGAACCAAAAAGGTTGGCCCAGGTCGGTTTGAAGAAGCTCCTTGGAAGCTGGCCCAGGGCTCCTGACTCATGATCTTCTGAATCGCATTTTCGGCTGTAGCCCAGGGGTGGGCGCTACACGTAATCGCCTGAGAGACTCACCGAGGGCATGGACCATCGGCGCCCCTGGAGACATTTATCGCTCTCCCCTGGGCTATTCGCCCACATCGTCGCCCCCGCTCCGAGGGTTTTCGCGGCTCGGTCGGTTCAATCGTGTCGCAGTCAGATGCGTTCGGTCGTCTCGGTTCATTGGGCCATTGTGTCGTTGCCGCGTCGCTGTGCCCGTCTGGGCTGCTTGCAGCCCTTGCGGTATTGGTCGGCTTCGGTTCCGCCGTCGGCTTGGTAGGTTCTCGGTTTTGCCCGCAGTGGGCTCCCTTCTTCGTAACAAGCGTCATGAACATGAGCCTTCGGACGCCCGCGCGGATTTCTGGGGTCGGCGCTGGGTCTCCTCCTCCCTGGCGCGCGGAGTGCGCCAGGGGCCGCCGGCACCGCAAGCGTCGCCAAGAAGGCCCAGTGCCGATCCAGGACATCGGCGCGGACCTCCGCATGGCTACGTCTACGGCCAGGAGCTTTTGCCCAGCGTGTCGCGCCGTGGGTAATGCCGCGCCGCGCTTCGGCGCGGCACGCTAACCACGTCCCGGTCCTCGAGCGTTAACGTCCCGAGCACCTCCCCGCCTCCCGCCCCGAGGAGCGGACCGGCATGCGAACTGTCCGCTTGCAGAGCATAGCGTGTCGCCTGGGCCGCCGCCGCGATACGCCCAGAGACAGTTCCGACCGCATGCTGTTTTTCCTCCTCCTACTTCTGAGGTCGCGGGTCGAGGATCGGCATCCCCAGGGGCGGATGCCTGGCTCCAGATGTCCCTCCTGATCGCTGTGAAGGGAAGGGGTCCTGAGGCACACGCGTCCTGAGGTCTTTCGCGGGTGTCGGACTTCCTCTTTTTCCTTGGTGACAGCCAGCGCAGTCTTCTGCTCCACACGCATTCTGCAGCACGGGGATATCATGGGCGGAGATGAGGGGTCCGCGTTCGCAGTCCGTAGGCTAGTCTACGAGCCGCAGCCCGCGTCGTGTCCATGGCGGGGTGCAGCTGCAGAGGCACGGGCCCTGGAGGATCTCGGCAGCCTTCGGGCCCTCCGGGCCCGCGGGCCCTGCGACCTTACAGAGAGTGCCTCGGGATGACCAGCTGGTCACGGAAGTGCCCCTTGGGGTCCAGGACCCGTGGCCTTCGTGTCAGGCTGCACGCAGTTGGCGCTGGCGCCCCCTCGGCCGCCGAGCGGGCAGCCGAACGGGCTCAAGCTCCAAGCTGCCCATGTGAGTCGCACCCGTTCGGCCTGGCGTCCGAGTGGGCCAGGTCTTGAGCCCGTTCGGCGGCTGGGCGGGCTCAGGAGCCGAATCGGCCGAGAAGCAAGCCCTGAGGTAGCCGACGAGCGACAGCGAGGATAGCAAGGACGACGAGAGGAGGGTGAAGTCGGGCATGTCCCTCCACAGGAGGAGTATTGAAGAGTCGTACAAGAAAGCGTCTGGTGACGATTTGTGTGTGTGTGTGTGTTCTGGACTATGTTGGATCTTATGTTTTGACTATTTGTTATGTTTCTTCCAAACTCCGCCTCTAGGAGGACATGCCCGACCTACGGTCAGCCCGCAAATTAAGGATGGGCAACCTTCCCAAGGGTACCCTTGAATCCTTGCCTCCCCGGTCCATCCTTAGCCACTTTCGTTGGCCGCGCCCCGCTCGAAAAGCTTAGGAATGGGCGTCCAGGGTCCAGGCCTTTTTCCAGTGCAAGGGGCGCCCCTGGGAAAAACGAGTGCCCAATGGGCCTGCCATTCAGGCGAGAGCTCCGTTTCAAGCCTGAGCCGCTTCGCAACCTTCTGGCGAGTTTCCAAGCACGCGGAACCGGGGAGGAGCATACTTCCCAGCGAGGCGTCCAACGAGAGCTCCAGTTTCAAAAATTCCCCTCTCTCAGTCCATGTGACCGCCGGACACGTTTGCACGCCTGGATAAAGTCTCAAGCGAAGGCCCCAGTTCGAAAAGGATTCGCCCTACACCAGTGCAGCTTTTACAATCTTGCAGGCGTCTGGTTGTCAAATCCAAGGGGTTCGCGAGCGAGAGTCCCATTGTGATCAGGAGCTGCCCTCCATCTTTGCAGCTGTCGCAAGCTTGGCGCTACGGCGAGAGCCCATGTTGAAGTGGAGCCGCACCCCATCTCTGTGTGCCTCTTGCAATCTGTTGAGGCGAATGTACGCGGCGCCCTGGCGAGAGACCCACTTAGGAAACGCACCGCTCTCCAACGATTTTAACTGTTGCAGGCTTTTAGGACGAATGTGCCCAGTGCTGGGGCGAAATGCCATTTAGAACACGTGCTGCCCTCCACATCTTTGAAACTGGTGCAACCTGTTGAGGCAGCTGTGCGCGGCGCTGAGCTCCAGAACCCGCTCTAACAACTGGTGGTGCGACAACAGGAGGTATCATAAGGAAAACGGTGGAGGAGGAAGGAGGAGGGAGGAGGGAGGGAGGGAGGGAGGAGGACAAGGACAAGGACATCCGCATGAAGGGGTATGACGTCAGAGCGCCTACTCAGGCGACCTACGCGCTACTGCCCAAATCCCCTGCGATTTGTTGTGCTACAGCCCTGCCTTCTCACTAGGGCCGGCAGGGGGCATACCCCGTAGCTCAAGGACCGAGATTCGAGGTGGCCCCGTAAGAGCGGCTCGCTACCTTACATCACGAGTCCCTTCGGGTCAGTGCGGGGGGAGCGGCTGCTGGCCTTTCCGCGTGCCCAAGGGGAGGGGGCGCGCGGGCTTAGCAGGGCGCCCAAGTCAAGGGGGGGAGGAGACGACGACACGACCTCAAAAGGAGGAGAGGGGGGAGAGACAGAAGGCCCGATATCCCCAGCTGTTGTCGGGGGGGCTGCTACATCTACAGTTCGAATTCCGCGCTCCCCTCTCACTCACTCAGCTCACTTCTCGGTCGTACCCCGAGATGTTCCGTGTATTGTCACATATGTATTCTGGCACCTTGTTGAATTAGCCCCAGGTTTCCCCTCGGAGTGTGTGAGGTAGAGCATACTGGAAGTCACGGTCATAGGTAGGGCCAATGAGGAGCACACTGGTGGGCTTCTGGATGATCACTTTTTTCCCCTTCGACACCTTGCAGTAGTTAGTGTACCTGATGATACTCCAACATACTTCCCAGTGCGATGGCGATGCAGGCGCACTGCTGTGCCCATATTGTCTGTCATGAGTTGCACTCCGAGAAACCTCGCTAATGCTCCTCCTGACTGCCTGTGGGCATGGCTCGCATCTTGCCTAGATTAGCACTCCGAGAAACCTCGCTAATGTTTCCTCTTGGCAAATCAGCAGGCTCCGGTGGGTGCGCTCACTGGTGGCCGCTGGATGAGCTGGCCGCCGTCGTCTCCTCCGAGAGGGAGGAGGAGTAGGAGGAGGAGGAGGAGGAGGAGGAGGAGGAGGAGGAGGAGGAGGAGAAGAGAGGAGGTGTGGGGGGGGGGGCGCAGATGGGCGAAAAAGGGGGAGGATGAGGGGGAAGGGGGAGTGGAAATCTGTTGAGGGTGATGATGAGGATGGTGATTACGATCGTTAGGACGGTGATAATGAGGATGATTATCGGCGGGTTCCTGCTCCTCAGCCATCGCGTGGCCTCCCGTCTCAACGTATATGGCACGTTGCTGTAACAAGTCCGCCAGGATTTTCAGGTCCTTTGCGTGCATGCTGCTGGGGCTGAGCGGCCAGGTCGGCGGAGTCGCCGATCTACTTCACGATGGTCAGAACCTTCTCGTCTGCCGACTCTTGGCCGCCCATCTCGCTGTAGGCGACCCGCTCTGGAAGCGGCACATGTCCGAAGTGATTCCGTCAGGACTGCATGGGTCGGCGGGATCTTGCTGCTGAAAATGATCGGCGGCGTCGCCGATCTGTATCTTGGTTTTCTCGTAGCGGCCGTCGTTTCAGCTCAGCACTTCGGCACAGAGCGTGTAGAGGATCCTCTGCTATCAATGAGCTGCTCCGCGATGTCGCCCACCCGGCGCAACAGCTCGGTCACTGCTGCGTTGCAGTCCTTCCGCCGCAGGGTGAGTTTGCCGATCTCGACATCGCTGTGGCCCGAGCTCCCTTCCCCTACGCCGAAGTGCTGCGCCGCCTGCTTCGGGGTCGCCGCGCCGCTGCTGGAGCCGGCGCCTCGGCGTTGCCTTCGCCCACGGCCTCCGCGAGGCCCGCGCTGGGGTTGCCTGGCCAGCTCGATGACGGCGCCGCGGCCCTGGCCCGGCGCAGCATGCTCCCCGAGGTTTCGGCGGGCCCGCCGCGCGTCCTCGTGGATACGGGCCTCGAGTCCCGCTTGGATCGCGCGGGCTACCACAGCCTACTAAGTCGCGCACCCAGACAGGCCAGCTCGGAGGTTGATAGACCTCCTACCCTGACACGTCGATTAAGGAATTGGCCGTTTTCGGTTCGCGAGAGGGCGTCGCGGCCGTCATTTTTGCGGGTCCAGGTCCGTCGGTTTCGGTCCCAGACCGTTTTCACTAAGGGGAGGTTCACTAAAGGGAGGTTTGTCCACTGGGACCGGAAAATCGGTGCCAGTCCCGACGCGAAGCGAGTGGGAAAAGACAGACCCCACACCTCGTGGGACACTCCGCGTGCGGGAGGGGTCACTTAAGAAGCACCCCGGGACATCCGCGAGGGGGCCCGGAGGCCAATTTTAGCCCCCCCCTGCCGCAGAGGTGTGGGGCATGGTTTTCGCCACACCCGCGGCGAAGCGCCACGGGACCGACCCGTCCCGCGAAAAATCCTGACGAGCCTCGGGGCCCACGCTTAAGCATGCTCAAACGGGCCCCCCTGATGCGAGGGAGAAGGGCAGCCCCCAGTACTTACCCGATGGAGGCGCCCTACCAGCGCGCAACTTGTCCAGAGCCACGCGAGCTGATTGAGCCGCAGCCCGAGCCTTTGGCGACACGGGAGTGCAGGGCTGGGGCTCCCCAGGTGCTCCCAGGGCTCCCACCTCGGCGGGCGAGGGCGACGTCGCAAGCCTCCATAGGGCCGACGTGGTGGCTGCCGCGACCCGGCGGGTCGCACCAGCCTCGCCCAGGAGCTGCTTTTAGCCGCCTCCGGGCGCGCGACAGTGGCCGTTCTCGACCGAGTCTCCCTCAGCACCGGCAGCGCAGCGGCCTGGCCGTGCGCCTGGAACGCCGAAGGAACTGTGGGAAACTGGCTCGAGCCAAGATGGCAAGATGGCTGCGAAGTGAGGAGGAGGAGGAGGAGGAGGAGGAGGAGGAGGAGGAGGAGGAGGAGGAGGAGGAGGGAGGACGGAGCGGAGGAACAGGAGGAGCAGGAGGAGCAGGAGTGAAGAGTGAGGAGTGCGGAGTGAGGGATGGGGAGTGAGGAGTGAGGATTGAGGAGTGAGGAGGAGCAGGTGGATGATGTGGACGAGGAGGAGGATGAGAAGGAGAGGAGGTCGCCGAAGTCCGCCGACGCCCACGACGCTGCCCCCCCCCCTCCGCGGGAGAGGCGCCAGCCCGTGCCCCCCGACAGCGAGCCGCTGCTGCAGCTCCGTGAGGAGAACGGCGCCTTCTGGGTCGACAGCGCGAACCCGAGGTAGCCCCTTCGACGGCCCTCTCGGCGGCCCTCCAGCGGCGGCGCCCTCTTCGGCGGCCCTTCGGCGGCGGCGGCCTTTTCGGTGGCCCCTTCGGCGGCCCTCTCGGCGACCCTCTCGGCGGCCCTCGGCGGCCCTTTCGGCGGCCTCGGCCCCTTCGGCAGCCCTCTCGGCGGCCCTTCAGCGGCGGCGTCTCTTTCGGCGGCGATTCGGCGGCCGTTCGGCGGCGGCCGCGGCCCCTTCGGCGACCCTCTTGGCGGCGCCTTCGGCCAGGACTCCTCCTCAGCCGAAGGAAAGCGCAGAGCAAACCCAGGAAAAGGCCAGGTTGAGGAAGAACCCTATCCGAGGAAGAGTATCCAGGAAACCTCAGCACCGAGAAGAAACACGAAGTGAGGGGCGGCCCCTTCGGTGACCCTCTCGGCGGCACCCTCGGCGGCGCCGCCACTGCCGCCACCTTCGTGGTGGCCAGGGTCGCAGGGCCACGGCATGTGGTGCATGGACGCTTGTACTCAGTTAGAGCATGCCTGGGGAGGAGGGCGAATACCGAAGCAGCAGCAGGCGGCGGACGGGGAGGAGCCAGAGGTCCCCGCGCCTTCTTTCCTCGCGCCAGCTGCTTCTCCTTCGCCGAGCAGTCCAGCGTAGCTCGCAGCAGTCGCAAACGCACCAACCCTGCTCTAAGATCGCGTAAGATGAGACGAGTCTCTTCGCACTCGGGGACTCGGGCCTAGGTGACTGCCAAGCCCGCCAACTCGTCAACAAAAGCGCTGCCCAGGATTAGCTGAGGCCACCCGATGCCGTTGGCAATCCCGCGTGAGGTAGCGTCACAGTGCCACAGGAGGAGGAAGGAGGAGGAGGAGGAGGAGGAGGAGGAGGCGGAGGAGGAGGAGGAGGAGGAGAAGGAGGAGGAGGAGGAGGAGGACGCGCAGCCTGCTGTTGAGTGTGCTTGCGTCAACCGCCGAGCCACTCTATTCGGCGATGCACAGTGCCCGTCTGACGGGCCAGCTTAACAGGTCGGCGTTGTCGGCGCATGGTAACGTCACATCATGCCAAACGATCCCAGCCAAGGCTGCCCGCCCCCCTCGAATTCTTGGGCCGCGACCTGGCCTCAATATCAGGGCTGGGACACTCCCCGCCTGAAGGGGGGAGGACACCCGGTGTGGTGTCGCCGCCTACGAACGAGCTACCGTCAGAAAGACAACGGTACTGATGGCCTCCTGCATTTTTTCATTGCTAGAATGGGCTGTCCCGTGTGGGATCGAGGGGGAGGGTGGATGAGGAAGAAGGCAGGAAGGAGGAGGGCGGAGGGCGGAGGGCGGAGGGAGGAGGGAGGAGGGAGGAGGGAGGAGGGAGGGGGAGGAGGGAGGAGGGAGGAGGGAGGAGGAGGAGGGAGGGAGGGAGGAAGGGAGGGAGGGAGGGAGGGGGGAGGGGGAGGGGGAGGAGGAGGAGGAGGAGGAGGAGGAGGAGGAGGAGGAGGGGAGGAGGAGGAGGAGGAGGAGGAGGAGGAGGAGGAGGAGGAGGAGGAGGAGCGGAGGAGGAGGAGGAGGAAGACGCGCAGCCTGATGCTAAGTGTGTTTGCCTCAACCGCCGGAGGAGAGGAGGAGGAGGAGGAGGAGGAGGAGGAGGAAGAAGAAGGAGAGGCAGAGGAGGAGGAGGAGGAGGATGAGGAGGAGGAGGAGGAGGAATACTATCAATAATGTGAATAATCATAGGTAGAAGACGAAACATAAGACAAATATGAATACTAATAGTAATACTTATACTAAGAATATTAAGAAGAAGAACAAGAAGAGGACGAACAATATTAATAATGAAAACATTCATAAGAAGGTGAAGACGAGTAATAGTAATACGGAGAAGAAACTAATACTACGAACACTGATCATACTAAAAGACTACCAAGAACAACAATGATACTGTTCATACGAATAATACAAAGAAGAATAAGCATGAGAAGAGGAGGAGGAGGAGTAGGACGAGGAGGAGGAGGAGGAGGAGGAGGAGGAGGAGGAGGAGGAGGGAGGCGGGGGCGGGGGAGGAGGAGGAGGAGGAGGAGGAGGAGGAGGAGGAGGAGGAGAAGGCTGAGGGGGAGGAGGAGGAGGAGGAGGAGGAGGAGGACGAGGAGGACCAGGAGGGGGAGGAGGAGGAGGAGGAAGAAGAAGAAGAAGGAGAGAAGGACGTGGAGGCGAAGGCGGGGGACGGAGGCGGATGAGGAGGAGGGGGAGGAAGGGGAGGGGATGGATGGATGAATGGATGGATGGATGGATGGAAACTCCCCCACTTGGGCTGGCATGTAGAAGCCTCGGTCCAGCCTCGGCAGCGGAGGGGCCACGGAGCCGGAGGCAGCAACCCACGGCGACATCCACAAAGCCCATCCAAGGAGAAACCTGGCTCTTCCGGAGCATAGTTGCGAAGGTGCCCCGACACTTGCACGCGGACGCCCGGAGGAAGAGGAGGGGAAGAGGAGGAGGAGGAGGACGACCACGACGGGAAGGGCGAGGAGGGGCGGAGGAGAGGGGGCAGACTCCGCACCCTGCGATCCGGACAGAGGACATCGGCTCAACCCAAGGACGAGCTCGAAATGGGAAGGCCTGGGAGAGGGCACTTCAGACGCCCAACTCGGCAGGGACCCCGCCCGATCTCCAAAACCGCCTCATGTCAGCGCAGCGCGCAGCTACGAGACCTTGGAGGTCGGAGGGAGAGGGCGTCACCCATGGAGACGGAGCATTTTGCTTCTGACCAGCCCGCTGCCCAGAACTCGGCCTCACAGCGCTCCAGATGGGCTCCCAGGAGGCATGCCTCTGCATGGCCGGCATCCTCGGGGCGCACGCTCAGAAAGGCCCGGGTGCGGTCCTCCTTTGACTGTGGAGGGCCAGTGTTCAGAGCATTCCAGAAAGGCGGTCGCCATACAGAGGTCCTTGCGCAGTCGGAGCGGGGATGGGAGGTGGTAGGATTGCGGATGCGGGCATCACACAGAGCACACTGCTGCTCAGAGAACCACGAGAGCGCCCCAGCCAGACGACTCCGGCGGAGAAGACGGACCGCATGCGCGCCATCGCCCGCTGGCCTCGGAGGACCTCCCGGGGAAGGGAGAGGGCCAATGCTCGGCCAAAGTCTGTGCGCGGTACCGGCCCCAGGGTGAGGCAGGGGAGCGGCCGGATGTGCGCCCCGAGCTCTCGGACCAACTCCTGGTGGCAGCGCCCCCGACGTGGGATTCGTACTGAGCCTTCGACCCCCCCTGGCACGGGGTCGCTCCAGGACGGCCAGCCCGGAACGCCCCGGTCCTCCAGAAGCGCAAGGGGAGCTCTGGCCCACGACCCGTCGGAGGTGGTGTGGGCACTCGCAGACGCGGCTTCGTACAGGCTCCCGCCCTGGAGCAGCCAAGGACCAGCCCGGCTGGAGCAGACATCAATCACCGCGCGACCAGCACCAGGGATCCCCCACTCGACCTCGGCCAGGGCCTCCGCCGCGGGTGTCCAGGGCGGTCGATGCAGAAAAGCTCGGGCCCACGCGGAGCAGCAGTCATTTAGAAGCTCGGCCGCACCTTCTGCAACGGCGAAGCGCCAGTGCCCAAAGCGGAAAGATGCCTCGACTTGTGTCTCGAAAAGCCCTAGAGATAAGTCGGGCCTGTCCCTCTACAGGAGGAATCTTCAAAAATAGTCAAAAATGGTCTGGGGACAATTATTTGACTATTTTTGAGCATGTTGGGCGTATGTTTTGAGTATTTTTTTACTTTTCGCCCAAAGTCCACCTGTAGGGGACAGGCCCGACTTAACCCATAGAGACCCCGGAGCGATGTACACCGCCAACACGGCACACTGCGAGGACGCCGCGCCGAGCTTCACCCGGAGCGCCTTGCCGAGATCCGAGTCAGCCTGCCGCTGCGGACCAAACTTAAGTTGGGCCTGTCCCCCTACAGGGGTACAGGGGGATTTTGGGCGAAAAATAAGAAATGCTCCCAGAATGTTCAAACATAGTAAAAAAATAGTCCCCAGATGATTTTTGACTATTTTTGAATATTCCTCTTTTCGAGGGACAGGCCCGACTTAAGGCCAAACCACTTGTGGCACGGCGCAGGCTGCAACGGCACTGGGCGGCACCCGGCCAGAGGCAGCACGACTGGGCCAGCTGTTAGGCCAGCCTCTCGCGCGTCGGCTCTTCCATTCAACACTATCGCATGCTTTGCAGGGGGACGCTTTCTGTTTGAATGCCCAGCCTGCCAAGACAGTTTGCGCCACTTGCGCCACCCCCCGCGAAGATGCAACGATGGCAGGGTCATCTGCGTGCAGGATTGCCGCGAGCCTCCGCGGCGCCGCGGCATCCAAGGCCGAAAGGGCAGAGGCTTCTAGGTCCAGATCCGTCGCAAGCTGATCCGCCGAGGGCAAAGGGGAGCCCTCCCGCAGAGCACGCACAAGCGACTCTGTGTGATGCGAATCCGGAGCTCCAGTACCCTTCCAGCAGTGCTCAGCCCATGCGCCTAGCATGCGGATCCCGATCCCTGCGCCGCAGCCTGCTGGCAGCAGTGCCTCCGTGAGGGTTCCATACACTCTGGAAAGGTCCCAGGCCCAGTCCCTCCTTCCGCGATGCCCTCGGTGATGGTGACTGTCTGGACGCCGTTGGAGTTGACGTGTATGACATCCTTTTCTAAGATGCTCGCGAGGAGCGCAAAAACGCCATCAGCGACGCCAGCGACGTCCCGGAGCCAGACCAGGAGGGCAGCGCGCCACGTCCTGGGAAACGCTCTTTGAAGTTTCCCACACTGCGCCCAGAGCAGCCACCTCGCGGCCGCAGCCTCAGCGGCCAGCTCGTGTAGGAGGAGGTGTGCTTCACCGACATCTCGTACACATCCGCTTTGCCCCTGCGTGATGGACTTCAAAATCAGGGGCCTGACCCGCAGGAGCAAGAGCATCTCCTGGAGGAGCCCCAGCTGGGTCTTCACCATGATGAGGCGGAACGATTCCCCTAGGTCGACCGGGCCCTCTTTGTGCAGGCGCACAGCGCAGCTGCCTCTCCACGCTTCGGGCCTGACTACAAGACACCCTGGCCCCGCCAGCCTCAGGAGTGGCCAGATTGCACCCAGCGGCGGACCGTCTCCAAGTTGGAACAGCATCCTGGGGAGGAAATCGGGGGTCGTGGCTTCCGTGCTGCCCATGGACGCGAGCGCTGAGATGACCTCCGCCTCAGAAATTGCCTGATCACGAGCCCTCGTCCACCGAGCCGTGCCTACCAGAAACGGCAAGCGCTCCTCCGCCTCCCGATGGAACGCGGTGTCCCACGGACCTGGCCATTGCGACTGTTGGCGGAGTTGCTGGCGCAGGACCTCGCTGGAAGCAGCCGGCGAAAGAACTTTCCCTGCCGCATCACGCAGGGCCGGGGCGGGCTGCGGCTCGCACGGCGAAAGGATACGTGAGCACGTGGCGACACGCTCTGCGGGCGGCCTGGGCTCCCCCAGAGCCTCCTGCACTCGTCGCTGCAAGTTTGCCTGTGGACGTGCTCGGTTTCTGCGCTCTGGAGCAGTTCGCGGAACGACCCACCCAGCAAGAGCCACGCTCAAGATGAAGTGCAGAACCCAAGACGACACGTCGGCGAGCCATCGAGCCGCATCGGCAGGGAGACTCCGCGAGGCTACGACTGCGTCGGGTGACGCGCATAGAGTTGCTAGAGCTCCTCCGAGGGTCTGTAATGCCAGAAGCGCGTGGGCTGGGCCTTCTTGCCACGAGGATTGCTGATGCCACCACCGAGGCATTCGTATGAGGCCACACCCATTCACCGCAAGCTCCTGCCCCTGGGGGAGTTCAACCTCAATCAAGAAGTGGTCCCCCATCGTGTAGTCGACGCACCCCTCCCCCAGCGACGGGGCAGTGCTGCTTCGCATGGGACCTCACTTTGAATCAGAAGAGTCCCGAAGGCAGCCGACGAGGCAACCACGACATCGATGCATCTGGATGCACCGTTCCCGTGATGCGTGCCGCCCTGCCGCACTTGAACTGCCTTTTCCTCTCAGCGGGAGCCAGACCGTCTGAGGCCCCATCCAGGCAATGTCCGGCCCAACCTTGGGAGCCGAAGGAAGATCTGCGCAGCGAGGCCGCGGTCGCGTCGCACTGCCGCGCGCGCGACCTACGCGCAACCGTGGCCGATTTGTGCCCGCCCACAACGGTGGACGTCTGCGTCTTCGAGCGCACCTGCCGCTGTGGGCCTGCCACAAATCGAGCCGCGCGTGCAGTGCCTCGACCCCGCCTGCTGGATGACACACATGAGGCAAGGTGGCCCTGCCAGGACTGGGCAACGAAGCCAGAGGCGCCTGTCAGAGCCAGGCGCTGCCAAGACTTCCATTCCTGGGAGCTTTTGCCCTGTCCCCCATAGCCGCAGCACTGGCGTATGACGCCCCCCCCTCCGATCCTTGATCTGCATCCCGACGAGCGCTGGGCTACGAAGTCCGGCCGGGAGCCTCGCACTTGGCAGCCCAAGTAAGGCAAGATCCAGAGCGCACCGCGTTGAGGATGCCCACCGTCGGGTGCGAAGAGGTGTTCATGCGGACTGCCTTGCCGTCGATACCCTGAGGCAAGACGAATCTCAGAAGACCCCGGGGCGATGGAAAGGATAGCTGGGGAAGGGGCGCCCTCCCCGACAGAATTCCAGATCCCGTGAGTCCCTGGCCACCGCAATGCTGCGACAAGCAAGTCGATCGGTGGGAGGGAGGGAGGCAGAGAGCGAGGGAGGAACGAGGGAGGAGGGAGAATGGCGGTGGGAGGATGGATCAGGGATGAGGGATCAGGATGGAGCATAATGGTGGAGTGTGAGGGAGGAGGGGGGGTGGAGTAGAGAATAGGAGGATGAGGAGACGGAGGAGGAGGAGGAGGAGGAGGAGGAGGAGGAGGAGGAGGAGGAGGAGGAGGAGGAGGAGTTGAAGGAGGAGGGGGAGCAGGACGAGGTTGGAGGTGGAGGATGGAGAGACACATCGAGGAGGGAGGAGGAGGGTGTGGGAGGAGGGTAGTGGTGGTGGTGGGGAGGAGGAGGAGGAGGACACGACGACGACAACGACGACGACGACGAAGACGACTTCGTCGACGACTTCGTCGACGACGACGACGACGACGACGACGACGACGACGACGACGACGACGACGACGACGACGACGACGACGACGACGACGACGACGACGACCCGCGCGCCGCCCCCGTGGGGTGGGTTTGACCCACGCCAACGGGCCAGGGCGCGCTCGTCGAGCAAGAAGCTGTGGCTGGCCGGCGGCTCAGACGCGCCCCCTTGTGTGCTCGTCGAGCGGTTCTTCTCAGTTCTCCCCTCTCCCTCCTCCTCCTCCTCCTCCTCCTCCTCCTCCTCCTCCTCCTCCTCCTCCTCTCGTCCCTCTCCTCCTCCTCCTCCTCCTCCTCCTCCTCCTCCTCCTCCTCCTTCTCATCCTCCTCCCCCTCCTCGCTACGCTACGCGATCTCAGGGCCTGTTCGATTCGAAGCCTCTTCCTGGAAAAGGAGCGAGAGAGAGGGAAAAGACGACCGAGGGACCGAGGGGGCGGCTCAAGGCAGGAATGGATCCAAGGGCCTCCAGTATCTCGAGCGAGAGTCCAGGCCCGCCCCCCGCAAACTGCACATCACTTCCGAACTCCAATCCCCTCCACACTCTCAAGAACTCAAGGCTTCCGCACAAGTAAAACGGTTCGGAGAGGGACGCTTGCAACCCAGCGCCCCTCCAGTCAGTGTGTACATGCATATGCTGCCCACCACACAAGCCCCACCCCTTTCTGCTGGCCTCCGCGTCGAGTTCGACCAACGTCGAGTGGAGCAAGATGACGGGCTCTAGAACAGTGTGTGTTCCTAAGGTGCACGTGTCCAAAGCGATCATCCCAGCCGTCCCCGCTTTGATGACCTCCCCCACCACAGGAAATCTACTGAATTTTAAACCTGGGCCGCACTTGTTGTGCGCCAAAGTGATCCATGGAATGCCGTGTCTCTTCGCAGCCCCTTGGAGCTGCACAGCAGAAACAATTTCCTCGTTCCCATCCGCAACAATGTCCCGCTCACGCGCATTGAGAGCCAACTTCCCCCACGGCTGATCCACGGCTCGACAGGGTCTCTCGCTAGCTTTTTTGGTGCCCGCCCACCTGGGCATGGTCACACCCCCCCCGCTACATAGCCTTGCTGCATTCTTTCCATCCATTCTTCCGTGTCCTGCCTTTCCCAGTCCTGCCAGGCGATATGCCAGATCTCCATCGTACGCTCAGCAATGGCGCACCCTCTGCAAAATATCCTGGAAGTCAAGCTCAGTGCGCTCTCCTCCCGAGATGATCATAAAAATCGGCAACAATCTTCCGTTAGCAGGCCTGCCGTCAGGAACCTCGACAGCGTCTTGGGCGACGTCCTGTCTGACCACTGGCGCCTGCACAGCTGACGTCTCAGGCAGTTCCCCTCTTAGTGTAACAGGGGGGGGGGGGCGACGACTTTAAAGGCAACTCGCTCAAGAACGTTTTCAAGCTTCCCCTTCTCCCTGTTTTCTTCTGGGTACTCAAACTCTCCTGTCTCCAAGACTGTAGCTCCGCAGGATCCACCTGCGGTAGGAACTGTCTCCAAACAAGAGCACGCTTGGGGCACCTCTTGAGGTGTTTTATCATCCTTCCGTTAGCGTGCAATTCCGTCAACACACACCTGACAGCAGCTCCCGCACGCCCAAGCATTCGGATCTTCTCGATGTGTATGGAGCTTGGCTCTGTGGATATTGAGCCTTTTGATAGCCTTCGCAGTACATCCACATCCATCACAGAAGAACCTGGCCACCTGGCCTTCACCTTGGGCTCCCTCGCTTTCTTCATCGCGCGGAAAGACCCCATAAACAAAACACCGCGTTTTAAGCTCATCGGCGAGATGCAGCTGCTGCTGAATGTGGGTCTGCCTCTTGGCAGCTTCCAAAACTCTGCACAAGAACGTTTTTCTTGCGTCTCTCGCAAAATCCACCCACTGCTGATCTGATCCCTGAAAAGGAACGTCCTTCTTAGAACACAAGGAGTTGAGCCAATCAAATTCTTCCCGAAGCTCAGCAACCCAACTGCCAGCGTCATCCCACAAAACATCGAGGGCCACCTTGAGCCTACTGGGTCCGTACTTCAGAAGTCGGGGGAGGTATCGTAAACTCGAGATTCGCATCACCACCGTGTGCTCTAATCTGTTCACCTGCTGCAGCACAGCTCTATTCGAAACATGGTCATCAGCATTGGCACCGAGTGCCAAGCCAAGCAGCCTGGCCAAACCGGTTGTGTACACGCCTGGGCAGCGGCTCCCATACCGAAACATTGTACCACAACTTAGACAAGGCAAACGCATCAGTTTATTTCACGTGAGCCCTTATGGGCAGGGCCTTCCTCCTCCTCCTCCTCCTCCTCCCTTCCTCCCTTCCTCCCTCCCTTCCTCCTTCCCTACCTCCTACCCCCCCCTTCTCCTCCTCCTCCTTCTCCTCCTCCTCCTCCTCCTCCACCACCCTCCTCCTACCTCCTCCCTCCTCCCTCCTCCTCCTCATCCTCCTTTTCCTCGCCATTCTCATCCTCCTCATCATCCTTTTCCTCCTCCTCTTTCTCCTCCTCTACAGGAGCCGTTTGGGCTCGGACCTTTTGGCGCACAGAGCCCAGCGCGCCTCGGCACTTACACGCAGTGCTTGAGGGACTTACTTCGGTGTCCGCCCACACCACACCGAGTTACGACCAAGACCGACGCATCATGGCAAAGCATAACCAGTGGTCACGATGTGAAGGATGTGGACGCTGCGAGTGGAACAACATTCTGGTTCGCAGTGCCAGCACATGTTCCCACTGCCACGCGAAGATTGAGATCTATCACGGAGGAGGCAAGCGTCGCAAAACGGTCACGTTCGAGGGCCAGCCGCAAGTGGGGGTCGATATCTTCCACGATGCGTTCGAGAAACCAGCCGGCATCCTGAAGCCTCGCAGCCGCAGCCCGTCGCCTGGAGGGAAAGGACGACGCACGGCACATGGCAAGGGCAAGGAGATGCCTGTGCACGAGCTGCTCCAGCAGGCCATCGGGGCCACCAGCGACCCCCAGCTCCAGAAGATGCTGAAGGACCAGCTCGAGCGGTTGGGCTTGCTGAGCAGCTCGCCCGAGACGCCCAGCCCTCTGGACAGCCTCAGGGAGGCCGATGGGGCCTTCCGCCACGCGGAGCACCTCCACGAGCAGGCGGTCGCTTGGGTCATCCGCCTCCAAGCCAATCTTGAGGCTGCGAGGACCAAGGAAGCGGCGGCCGCACTCCGCCTCGCTGAGGCCAAGGAGGCCGAGACGGCGGCGACCAGGGCTCTCGCTCATGCTGAAGGCGTCCCGGGTGTTCCAGCAGCGGGAGCAGACGACGAGATGCACGCGAAGAACCCCGCGCCTATGTTCAGGCTTGATTGGGATGAGGAGTTCTTCAGCCAGCTCGGGGAGCTTGAGTGCAATGATGGCGAGCGCAAGAATTTGGATAAGCTTCATCAGGACCTCAAAGCGACCCGCAGCGACCTCGACACGAGGAGCCAGCTCATCACCACCTGGCTCGAGCAAGCCAAGAAGTTTAAGGAGGTCATCGGTGCGCGCGTGGCCAAGAAGAGGAAGTTCCAGAGTGGCGAGGCCGTGGGCCCGAAGACGAAGGAGGCACAGGACGTCGAGGGCGAGCTCCAGCAGGCCACAAACACGGCCGTGCCCGCCGAGCCTGCGACGTCCCCCACGGACCAGCAGGACAAGCTCAAGGCCGAGGCTAAGAAGCTGTCCGAGGCACGGTTCGCCGACCATACCCAGGCCTCCAAAGCCAAGGGTAAGGGATCGGCGAGCACTGCTGCGACAGGTTTGGCAGCCTCCCCGTCAACGGCTTGACAAATAGAGAAGGGGAAGCCTCAGTCCCAGAAGTTTGTGGCCGCCAACGCCAGCAACGAGACGCGCATGTTCGCGGGGAACATCACTGAGCTCCCCGACAAGCTCTGGCAGTACCTGTGCGGCCACTTACTCGCAATTTTCGTTCTGAGGAGTCGTAGAGACTCACGTTCGTGATCATCAAGAACTTCGGGCCTGGGATGCGAAGGCCAGACGTGGGAAGCTCCGGTATTTAGCTAGATCGTCTGGTAAGCGAGTCTCCAGAAATATGGTCAATCGTTCCAATGAAGGAGGGGCGATGATGTTCGCTCGTCGCCACCTTCAATGCCAGCTTCTACCTGAGGCCAGAAGTGCAGTGAGCCAGCTCTCGGCCACTGGGAGCCAGATCTTTGATGGTTTTCTGCCCATTGTTTTCCACCTGGTGGGCTACAGCATCCTGTTCATGTTCTGGCGCGGGCACTCGTCTGTGGGCATGCCGGGGCCCGGCCGCCGACGATATGGACAGCTTGGTGGCCTACTAAAGGCTGTCAGTCTGCCATGGGGGTTGTAGGCGACTTCAGCGCGCCGCCAGACATCCTCCAGGACTCGCAGATCGCCCGCGGCGTGGGCGGCCATGTCCGCGTCGCCCCTGGAGGAGGGACCTGTGCGCAGAAAAATCGAGCAGACTTTCTCCTTGGTTGCATGCTGTGTTCATCATCGGCCATCCCTGTCTTCGGGGATTTTCGGCAGGTCTGTGATGTCCCGCGGCGCCCTCATGTTCGCATGCATGTGGCCCTGAGGAGTTCAGGCCTCCAGCTTCTCGCGCGTGTTTTGGACGGGCCTCGCAGGCCCCCCCAGGTCGGGCGTCCGCGCGCTTCTCCTGTCTTGGGACCCAAGAGTAGTAGGGTGAAGGATTGTGCCGGGATCTACTCGTCGGTTCGATCGAGCGTGACGTAAGCCCTGGAGGAAACGATACGAGGCCGACGGAGATGCTGGAGATGACAGACCCACGCAACGCCGGCCAGATTTCGCCCCACGACATAGGTTTGCTGGCAATGAGAGAGGGCGGTGGGGGCGGCGACGGGTTCTTCGAACGAGCGCAGTCTCGAGGCGCTACAGAGAGCATCTCGTCGCCAGGGCGGCGCGACGCACCCCGCTGGGAGGGCATCTCTCGAGGGCAAGGTGATTTGATGAGCGCGAGAGCAATGGGGGGCTTCGCAGCCAGATGGCGCATGCCATGCATGGGCTGTGCAGGATGGGGGCGCTGCGGCGCAGAGCTCAAATGCGTCGAGGCCTTGGAGACGCCGTTCCCGGTCGTGGGCGCGGATGTGTCGAGGGCGGGGGCAGGGGGGCTCTCTCGCGCGCCAGTGCGCGCTGTTGTGGCGCCTCGGGGCGCTAGGAGTGTCGT